ATGTGTATGGGGGATGGGTGATCCATGTGATGCTCATTGCAGTAGTGATGGTAGTAGTAGTATAAGCGTTGAGGTTCGATGCGCTGTATGTGTTCAGTAGCTGTGTAGTATACTTGGGGGTATTGGTTATAGCAGTAGTAGAGTTATGCTCATCAGGAGAGTAGTAGGAGGTGTTGTTAGATAATGGCATGGAGCGATGGGTGGTGGTTGCAGCGGTAGTGGTAGCGATAGCCTGTTTATGGCTATTCATCTACACGTTGTGGTGTGCTGCGTCACAGAAACTACTCATGAGGAGGGTTGCTGCTAATAACCAGGTGAGGCCAACTGGCACTGTTGATGGGTGCGTTGTAAATAGTGACGTATATGGAAGGGGAGAAGATTGAGCGCTCTTCTATTATGGTTACTGAGGCCCTTAGGCTGGGCAGTTGTGTGTTGATCTCCCGTTGGTATTTGCACGCATGCGCAAGGCGTCTTGTAGCGTGAGCTGGTGATAGCGATATTTTTAATCCCATTGTTGTCAGAGCCGGTATGCGAATCTGGAGATAGGAGCTTACGACCTCGAGAACGCGGTAGCACAGACTGGTGCTGAAATTGATAGAGAATAATGAGAAGCAAGGGGTTGGTGGAATATCGAGATAATCGATCACGTGATCGATTTGCAGGTGTCATATTGTGCGTGTTTGACTGTGCGTTGCTCGCGAGCCGCTCGCGTCGACGAGGAAATCGGTAGTTCGTAGTGGAATGGTATATTTACACGAAGGTTTCTGTCATCGTTCGTAGTAGCCATGGAGTATGTTGTGTTTAGTGGGGGTATGCAAGGGGTGCGATCAGCTAAGTCTGGTTCTAGCGTTGCTTTCACTATGATATTACGGGAACGTCGTAAGGCATCATCTTCATTAGCAGCTAGCACTTCTGAGGAGGAGTATCGCATTGGTGTTGATGCCCTTGAACAGTTGGATAAAGCCTTGGCTACTCTAGAGGAGGAAGAAGAGGAGGAGCAGCCCTCGAGAGAGATACGGCCTCGCAGGGTGAGCTACGTCGCTATCGTTAGCACTATATGATGCGCTCGCCCTAACAGGCACGAGAGAATAATAAGACCCGTATCGTGGACCCTAGTAGCAGTAGTGATGTGACGCCCAGTCCGTCGCCATCATCTTCGCCCTCTGAAGATGAGGACTCGACTGATGGTCCTGATCTTGAAGGGGGGATTATTGTAGCGCGCACGAGGAAGGACGGCGAACTATGGCTGTTGGTGAAGCCTAGGGATGAGGCGTAGGTTGGGTATGGGATCTACGCAGTGTGGGATGATATGCACATGTGTTGGTGACAGTATGAAAATTTTGAGGAAATTTTGGGGAATTCTCATTGATTTCTGTATACTTCTATCTGAACTCGTATATAAACTCGAGTGATTAGTGATAGAACTCCTGAGCTCAGCTGGGGAAAGCAAACATATATTCCTGCAACGCTCGTACAGTCGTTTGTATGGTAGGTGGAATAAGGTGCTATGGGCCCCCTTCGAGGTGTGCTGTGAAGAGGACGCGGCATTCAGGCAAAGGGTGACTGGTGAACGTTTGGGGAGGGTTGTGGTGAGATTGTTTTTGGTTAGTACGCTAACTTTAAGAGGAAGTACCGCGAGTCGGAAGGGCCTCATGCAGTGGACTTTGTTGCTAATAGAAGGGATAGAAGTAGGCTTAGTATTGGCAGACTCGCAGCAGTGTGTGGGTGGTTGGTGTAGGTAGCAGTAGTGTTAGTGGAGACGGGGGAATAAGTCGGTCTGGTAGAGCGACGTCGTCGTTGAGCGGCGCTGCGGTTATTGATATGCCGCAGAAGGAGCTGTTGGATGTTCTAGTAGATAGAGGTGTTATAAATGCAGAATGGTGAGGTTAGAGAGTTAACCATAACTATTGGGGAGTCTTTGGGTAGGCTCGTCCCGGATCATTTGCTGACGTGTAGTAAAGTAGATGATGGTAAGATTTGGCTGGTACAGTGGGGAGGGCTTCCGGTCTCGGAGGCAACGTGGGAGGATGAGTCTCCGACTGATGTGAGTGAGGGGTGGTATATCTTTAGGTTGAGCGTGGAAGATACGGAATAGGTTGCCTAGTGTATATCTTTTCAGACCCCTCAAGAATTGATCGATGAATGGAATAAGTGGAACGATGTAGGTCTATTGGAAGTATATCGTCCTTGAAAATACTAAGTCACTGACGGTAGGCGTCGAGGAAGCTTAGATGGCAGAAGATCGCCGATGAGTATCTTGCGGCTCATAAGGAGGAAATTGAGGAAATTGCAGCGGCAAAGAGGTTAGTGGAGAACTACGTTGTTGTATTCCTTGAAATTAAATCGCGCGCGCCCTGAAATTCGGGTAGGGTATTTTGTCAGAGTTAAGAAGAGAGGGAGGCCGCCGAAACATAAGAAGCGAGTTGAGGGTATTGCAATACAGGATATAAGGCGGCCTAAGGTGAAGGGGTTGCGGAGGGATGGGGTTAACTTGTGATGTATGAAGATTCATTCGATATTACTAGGGTATGATGTATCCGTATCTGATGGAATCAGCATTTATGATAAATTGATTGGAAAAGTTATGGTGATGGAGTTTCACCCTAGTGATATGAAAAACACTAGTGAAAAATATATTTTACGACTATTGCATAGCGCGAATATTACGTTTTTCACCGAGTATTACGCCACGTGAAACGGGTGAAACTTCAGTATTATTAATACTCCATAGATGTATGTGGTGGTATTAAAATTATATGGCTGATGTGTTGTAGGATACTGCTGATCGATGGACCAAGGATAACATGTGCCCGTTATCTACGTATACACCTACTCCTTCTCCTACTATGGGAGGGGTCTCCCCACCAGCGCCTGGTGAAGAGTCGAATAAAGGGGAGGAGGAGGGAGAAGAGACTGATGAGATGGTCTATCGTCCTACTAGGGATACTCTATTTGGATTCCAGGTGACGGGTGCAGGGATCGAACCTGCGGCTTTTCACCCTCGAATGCCAGGTTGAAGGGATCCAATGGTTACTCCATAACTGGTCCCAGTACCGTGGGTCAATATTGGCTGATGAGATGGGGATGGGAAAGACTGTACAGACGGCTGTCTTCCTCAGTGCTGTGATGGCGACGGTTGGAGGTAATTGCTAATTCTATTGCTGCTGGTGGTTTCTGTTGAAGAAGTTTTGTAAGGTACTGGTCCTTGTCTTATAGTAGCGCCGTTGTCAACTTTACGGCATTGGCAACGAGAATTACGGAAGTGGGCGCCCGAACTGAATGTAGTAGTAATGTAAGTGATGGTGTTTTGATGATAAGCGTGCGTGACAGTAGAACGTGAGTTTTCAGGGCTGGCAGTAGTGAGGATAGGGACATCATTGCTGATTTCGATATGAGCTGGATCAACATTAACAACGGACATCGGGAGAAGGAGCCTCTGAAGCACAGAGCAGATCCTCAATTTTGGTAAGCAGCAGTATGGAGAGTGCTCAGAGTTCGTACCAAAATTCCCGCAACTCAGCCCGAAGTTCGACGTTGTCGTTACATCGTACGAGATCTTCTTGACGTGCTCGAACAGATCGAACATAACGTCATTGACCAACTACAACTGGCGGGTTTTGGTAATAGTAGTGGTAGTGGGGGTAGTAGTAGATTCGAGCTGCTGGGGTTAGGTACTGGACGAAGGACATCGTGTGAAAAATCATCTGTCACACAGTACCAAGGCTCTAGCACACATAGCTAATGTACAGCATACTGTTATTCTTACTGGTACGTTGGTGATGAAGTATTGATCTACAGGCTTGGCAACAGGTACTCCTATACAGAACAATCTACGGGAGCTTTGGTCGATACTCCATCTCGTTGATAAGAAGCGATTCGCGACGTTTGAGGGGGTAGTGGCTGAGTTGCAGAAGGACACTCCTGATGAAGGGCAGTCGGGTAGCGCTACTTCAAACCATGGAGATGGCTCATCGGAGGGAAAGAAGAGCGAGATTGATTCGGTGGCTAACTTAGATCTGGATAAAGTTACTGAAGTCCTGCGACCGTAGGCTATTACAGTTGAGCTCATCAGCTGAGCAGCAGTGGATTCGAATCAGATACATGCTAAGACGGTACAAGTCGGATGCGATGAAGAAGGTCCCTCCTAAGCTGGAGCATATCATAGAGGTGGAGTTTACTACACTACAAAGGAGGGTCTATAAGTGAGCAGCAGTTTGGGGAGATTAGGGTGGCAGTTGTTGATGATCAGGTCGGTGTATGAAGGGAAGATATATAGTTTGGTGAATGGTAAGGGTGGGAAGTCATCCCTCAACAACATCGCTATGGAGTTGCGCAAGTGTTGTGCTCATCCGTAATGGCTTTGGTTTATGCAACCAGCACAGCATCAATTATATCAGGTACCTTATATCTGGGGTAGAGGACTCTCATTTGGAAGCACTAGGAGTGAAGCCTGATAGCGCAGTCGCGATGCAGAATTTGACAGAAATGTCGGGGAAACTCGTATTCTTGGAGAAGTTGATCCCGCAGTAGAAAATGCATCAGCAACCCGGTTTTGTATCTTTCAATAGGTTGCGAGAAAAGAAGGAGAAGTTGCTTATATTCTCACAGTTCAAGATAGTCCTGGACATCATCGAGGATTGGTTGACGTGGAAGAAGTACTCCTTGTACGATTTCGGCGAGGAGTGGTATGTGTTGTATTAATAGGTTGCCCGTTGAACGACTGGACGGGTCAGTGTCGGGCGGGAAGAGGCAGGCCGCTATCGATCGATTTAATGACAAGAAACGTGAGTCTGGGGAAGGCTGGGTTGGTGGCTAGTGAAGTGTTGTTGTTATTATCAGATGATTCCTTTGCGTTCCTATTGACCACACGAGCCGGCGGTGTTGGTATCAATCTCACTAGTGCTAGTGTTGTGGTAGACTGCTAGTGATATCACAGTTCTCGACAGTGTTTCTCGTCAGGTTATCTACGACAGTGATTGGAATCCTCAGAATGACAACCAAGCACAAGCGCGATGCCATAGAATAGGGCAGACTAAAACAGTGAGAGTGTAAGTGGTTGTTATTGTTATTGTTCATTCTAGTGAAGATGATTAGCCTTCTTGGTCTTAGGTATCGGCTATTGACTCGCAACTCCTACGAGGAGAAACTGTTTGAGATTGCCTCGAAAAAGCTTGGCTTAGAGCAGGCTATTATGTCTTCTGTTACGGCCAATTCGGAACTGAATCTGTCGAAGCAGGAGTTGGAGCATCTTATAAAAGAAGGTAGAGTTGCCCGCTGGTGAGGAGGCAAGAGTGATGGGGCCTATCAGGGGCGTATGCGGCGTTCGAGGAGCATTCAGGCAGGGAAGAGGAGTTCAGGAGTGCCTCATTGGATGATATTATGTCGAGTGATCGCATCAAAACTGTGACGTGAGTTGTTGGCCTGATGGTAGTACTGAATGCTCTATGGGAATAGGTACGGCACCATAGTTTCTGGAGGGCATCGATCGAGATTCTCCAAAGCATATTTCAGCGCTAATCCGGAGACTCCCGAGGTGGGCAGTAGTGTTGGTTTGGTATAGTAGGCTTGGTTGATATCAGGAAACAGTGTCAACACCAGACTCGGTAGAGAGTGGTGAAGATGGACCCGTGCCTGATGAAGACGAGAAGCTGAGTGACATTAATTTCTGGCGGAAATTAGTCCACGATGAGTCCCTGCTCACAACAGGTGGGCTGGAGGGAATCTCGGCGCGATGTGGGGGGATATTTAGATCTGTTGTAGATCCGGATGCTAAGGAGGACAAGTCGGAGCTATCTGTGAATGAATTGGGCACGAGGAAAACAAGATATGCAGGCAACTTCTTACGGTTTAGGACTGCGAGATCAGGTGGAAGCTTTTATCTTGATAGCGATGGATGTTGTATGTGTAGATAAGGAGGATAGAGTTGATCAAGAATACCGACCTCAGGAGTCTGTCTCGGAGAATGGGGATAGTGATGTTGATGGAGAGGTGTTCACGATGGTGTGGTATGTTGTGAATATTTAGGATGTTAGGATCTAGTGGAGGAAGATGAATTCATTGAGAAGGCAGAGAAGGCGGCATCAAGGAGGAAGAAGAGAGGCCGAGGGCGAGGGCGAGGGAAGAAGGAGAATAGCAGCATCACAGGTCGCAGTGCTGATGGTGCATCGTCACTCAAGGGGGGTGGTCGTGGTACCCACAAACGAGCACGGGTGAGGGGGAGGGGGCTCTTGTTGTTGTAAGGGTAGATGGCTTGTGCTCAGGTTGACAGGGTATCAGATAACCCTGCTCTACAGCGAGCAGCAATAGCAGCCCAGAAGGTCAGAGCCTCAGCAGCAGCATCAGTGCCTCGGCATTCCTCTATGCCGGGTGGCTCGGCGCGCTTCCCTCGACAAAGCCAACAACTGCCGACTTTGGGCGTTACTTCTGCTACTTATCCCTATGTTCCACCACCACCACGATATCCATACACTGCAGTACAGTATCGAGGGCTTCCCTTGCCCCCTCAGGGTATCGTCAATAGTATGCCTAATAGTCGACTGCTCTTCCCTCCCCCTATGTACCAAGGTGCTCCTAATTACGGTATGATGTATGGGATGTACATGGCCTCGCGAGCGGCAGCGGTAAGCGAGCAGAACTTACAACGGAGCCGAGTAAGATCAGTGAACTCTGGTGACTTGTTAAACTCGATTGATCCCAGTAAAATAGAGAAGCTTGACTGACTTCATCTGTAGTATAAACGTCAAATACGTTACGTATTCTAGTACGATTATTATGAGACGATTTGCATCGCATGGGAAGCGTTTTGTGTTGAGAGTGACGGACTGATGAGATCAATAGTAACAAGGAGTAGTCGTACCAATGCTGCATTGCATCCGACTCGGAAAAAGAGAACTATCTCGGAAATTCCAGGCAACTCCGAAAAAGATCGTTTGCGCACCATTTAATAGTGTTTCATGTACCCGTTGAGAAAGCAGTGATAATACTCGATGTGAACTCTGATGCAATTCCTAGAGAGATGAACCTGTCGTTGTGTGATCAAGTATCCAATCTCTGTCCCGTATCTGCTTGCAAAGTGCAGGAAAGATACTAGCCGTCATCACTGTAGCTCGAAGAGAGTTAACTTACCCGTCCATTAGGTGTGTCTCAGCTGTGGGAGTTTACTGATTCACTCCAGTTTACCCGTTTACTTGTTAACTCGTCGTTTCGAAAATGGTTATGAAGCTATTCCCTGACGGCTTGGTAGATCGTGTTGGTGGTTGCGGCCCATTTGAGGCTGTTGCCAAACGCTTCTACGAGCTCTCTTTCGCTGATCCCATCCTATCGGTCCTGTACGCGGATAAAGATGAGCCTCATTATCTGATGTTCTGCCGTTGGTTCTTCGAACAGAATGGCCTCACTGACGAGATGACGAAGCGTGGTGGCACTAAGTTTATTAATGCCATGCATCGCAAGGCCCAGAACTGTCCCCTAAGAGCTGATGCTCCTAAGGAGGCCGGTTATGTTGGTGGTGGCTTCACTAAAGCCCAAAGAGCTCGTTGGGTGTGGGCTCAGTTGAAGGCTTGCGAGGAGTTCAAGTTGCCCGAGGATTTCGTTCGCGACTACATTCACGGTCTATGTGTTTTCATGTCTGTGTATGGTCCCTTCGTTGACTCTCGTGCGGAAGATGGCCCCCAAACTGGTAAATGCCCAATGAGCATGAGCGTCCAGACCACTTCAGAGCAGGCTGAGATGGTCAAGATTCATCCCAACATTCCTGGTTATGATCTCCCTGGTAAGCTCGGCAACTTCCAGAAGATCACTGTTGCTTGAGCTCCCATATTGCTGGCGCTATCGGAGTTTTCATTGAATATTCTGATTGGGCGCATACTAGCATATTTCTCTGTACCTTTGCGGCGGGGTTATCAGAACTCCATCGTTATTGATGGACTTGCACTTCCTCCGTTTACGCCGTAGCGCAGCTGCAGTCCATGCAGCGCTAGCATTCCTACGCGGTGTAGTTCGGTACGAAGTTGTCCTGATATTACTGTTAAGGTATTTCTATTGAATTTGTATCCCTCACTGGTGGGAGACCCTTTTTGGGAGTCAACCACATACCCGCTGCACCGCAATCGCGGTTGCGAGCATCTCGTATAGAGCGAGCTTCTACCCTGTGGAGTTGTTATGTGTTCTGTTGTGATATCCGATACGAAGAGGGTCGCAATCGAGTTAGCAAGTCGCTATTCTCGTCGTTGTGTCGTGTTCCATGGAGTAGAGTGTCTAGAGGTAAGTTAAATGAAGTTGAAGCCTATCAAACAAGAATGTCCTCAGAGTCCTAATATTGTCTCGGAGGATCTTGTGAGGAATATGAAGTTTCTTTTCCCAATGCCTCTGTCCAAACCTGTATACACGAGGCGAAGATGAAACTTCGTAAAAACACTCCGACTAACCATACAGCATTGTGTAATCCTGAACTGTCGCAGGACATAAACTTGTGACTATTTGCCTCAATCGATGAAGCGGTAAATTCGCATACAGTATTCGGAATCGGAATTTCCTATGCAGTTAGCCCTAATGCTAGGGTCTACTCACCCGTGAATGGCACTGTCTTCGAACACAACAGTAAAGTGCGATCAAGTCCCGTCGGATGAATCTTCCAAGGGTAATGGTGCTGGGCTCACATCAGCGTCCTTTATTTCTGGATTGCGACCTAATGCAACGAAGGATCTCGAATACGATACTGGCATCCCTCAACCTACGCGTTGCCAGCCACGTAGGCTTGGTATCGAAGGGTAGGGCCGCAAGAGTCGGTTGATACGTTTTCTGACATATAACAATGAACTCTTAAAAGAGAGTCCAAGCGAGACTTACCCTTTTCTTCATCTGAGTGTAACCTCTTCTTGACCGTCCTTCTTTCAATTGCAACTTCACATCCATCCGGCATTTCATCGCCCGTAGCTTATGATCGATCTAAAAGAAAAGTAATCTTCCTCCAAGCCTCCGACTAGATGGCGTAATGAGAAGCGACCCCACCTCCACTTGAGTGGGCGATATTGGTACTGGCAACACTTCTGTGAGGTGCTCATTCGCCAACTTGGCCATGTCTTTGGCGATCGATGACCCTTTTGCTGCTGGGTTGTTGACAAAGTCCCGAGCAATATCCATGAACGGTTCTGAATCGAGCAAATCCGGCAGTCTGTGAGATGAACTGGTTTCTCTCACTATCATGGCCTTCCCTAGTCACTTGGAAGTTCTCTGATCCTTCGGCATCGCCAGCTCTGGTCTGATCCGGCGGGATCAGCACATCAGCGTGATTGATGCATAGACTTACAACAGTAATAGCCCGTCCTGTGAGGACGCCATTCGCCGCTAGTTCGGTTCCTCGATGCTCAACCTCTCTGTTGCGGTAAAAGGCGTGACCCGTCTTATCAAAGTACCTGCCCAAAGGCGAAGTACTCAGAGGAGAGAGTCATTAATGGGACTACTTGGCATCAGCAGTTGTGGCAAGATGGTCATGCAAGGCAACCGTCACATATAGGAGGTTCTCATTCGACCTGAGAGGACGATTCACAATTTCTCACGATAGTAGTTGAAACTCACCATGCCTTTGCGATTTGCAGTAGCTCTGGGAAATGGTTGGATATCCGCCGAATAGAAGCTGTGATAGCCGTGAGCATCCAGAGGCCACACCGTATACGATAGGTGGGTCGCTTGAGATGGAGGAAATGCATCTAAAACGGCGAATGGCAATTGAAGTCTTCTTGACGAGTTATACAAGGAATATGGTGCTAGCTTGGAACAAGTCGCGATCCATTGAAACTGTCGTTACGATGAGCAACGGATCCTGGGACTCTGTCCATGCAACAGAGTTCAAGCATATGTCGGTTACCTGAGCCAAGACAGGCAGTAATGAAGGACGGCCAAACTCAAGTTACCAGAGTATCAAAGAGATCCTTCTCATCTTCAATGTTTTCCCAGGGGTCTAGTAGTGCCTGCATGCAGCGAAAAGGACGGCAATCAGCACAATAGAGACGTATCCCTATACAATAGCCCGATAGAAAGTACTACAAGAAGGAGTATGTCAATATTGACGATGATGCGAAGTGGAGTAAAACTCTATGGAAAACGCGATATTTGCGCTATGCAGTAGTCGTAAAATAAGTTTTTCACTATTGTTTTTCATATCACTAGGGTGAAACGCCAATGAATACTAATAGTATTCATCAAAAAAGAAGCCTCCAAGCCTGATGTCTGTTCCCCCTCCTCACTGAAATCGCCTTCTCCTTATAAACTCGTCTGCACAGACGATAGACCGATACGTCCGGCACAGCTGGCGGCGGCACAAGGCCTTTAAGAGTCTCATCAATGGGTGTATAATAGAAGTCTTCCAGATCTTTATATAGACTATCTAACCTTCCTGGTAGTAACTGAATCCATAACAAGTGGACCTGTGAGCAACTTCTCCATGCCTACCGTCGGGCTGTATCTAGGAGGGACTCTCAATGGTGATCTCGGTAATGGTCTCGGACTAGTGATGAGCCCACCTCCCATGGGCGCACTACTCAGTGAGAAGGAATCATTAGAATTGTGTCCATATGTGCTCATCAAGTTCCCTTTACTGAATTGTTTCATATCAATCCCCCCAGTCCTTCCCTCTCCCACTCAATGAACACAATACTCCAACTCTGATGGAAATAGGATACCAACCAATTGACATGTGATGTGGCTAGTCATGGCTTCAGCAACAGCATACAAAATACCATAAGAATTCTCCAAGATCTGACGGTAGAACAGCTCATACGGCCTTCCTCAACAAGGCCCATCTGCACAAACGAGAGACGACCAAGGCATCGCTATCGGGGTAGCTGCTGACGCTGAGACCAGCATAGTCCCATCAATAGACGTGGTCGCAGTCACCAATACAATCACAACTATGATACAAAAATACAGCTTACAAAAATTATTCTGGAAAAAATCGAGGCGAGAAAGAATACTTTTAAAAGATTATATCGCTAGAGGACACTAATACGACATACAGTAGAGTAACGAACATCACTTACATGTCGAGTAATGAGAACGGGCAGGTTCGCCCAAAGGCGTTGCCTCTGCTTCATTCTTACAAAAATCGGAGTAACTTAACACTGCATGCTGACATCCAATTGAAAATTAGCACATGGCAAAACTTAACAATAAAAATTAACATTAGTCGTCGGAGGACTGGTGACAAAAATATACTAATACTGAATATGCTGTTGTATTAACAACAGAAAGCGTCGAAAATGAATGACGTTGACGAGATGTCATCTCCACTGGCCTCGCCAGCACAAAAAATATCGATTTGAGTCTGTGCCCCTTCACGCCAACTTCCTACTGCCTTACTACGCACCTGATTGGGAAAGTCTCCACTGTGGAAGAAATAATGATTCCCGCTACATTCTGAGGAGGGGAGGCGGCCATCTTGTCGGTTGAATCTGAGAAGAAATATTAATCATTTACCAACTATTCTTGCCAAGACGAAAATATGAATAGTGAAGATCAACGATGGACTCATTGAGGCATGCCAAGACGAGTAAGGTGATAGAGATAAAAAGTTGCGCCCTCTCTACCTGTGCCCTCGAGTATCCTTACTCGACTGAACCTCTGAATGGTCAGTACCCATCAATAGGCTAGGACCAGGCTCACATCTATCAGCAACAGTTGTCACCAACAAGGCTCGAACCTTGATTACATGCGGACATCCAAAGTATTGTCTTCCTCGTCAACAAATCGGAAGTCGTTCTCAGCCATGCCCTACACAGACGGCATACCACACTTCCATCACATCGTCATTACACCCACCCCCACAGAATGATCCTCACCTTCTGGTACCGCCTCACCTGATAATACTAACCTTCGGGAATAGACTAACCGCCACCCTTACTCTGTCGAGGACCATATGCTACCGATGGAGGAAGGATGAATATTGGTATCGATGCATAGGATGAGCACAGCTGCGGGTGTAATCTGAATATGTGAACAGATAGTAAGGTTAAACAAGTGTCTAGAATAGTTTCGAATGAAATAGAATAGTTCAACAACGGTTCGGTTATAGTGTTTCAACTGGAGGTTTTCAAACAAAACCAACGCTGTAATCCTAATCAGCGCGTTTGCTCTATAAGGCTAGCCATTCAGCACTTACTTCAGTAGTTTTCCTACAGATTCCTCCCCCCGTGCTTACTCAGTGGACCCTGGTGCCGTTGTAGTGACAGAGCCGGAGTCCGATCTATGGACTCCCCAAGAGGAAGTTGAAGCAACCATAGGAAGCACAGTAGAGGCATCGCTATCCGTACCGGACGAGTACGACCGAACTCTTCCTATTCCTAATACACATGAAATTCCCCCACAAGCCGGACTAAAGGGCTAACCTCTGGTCGCCATAGAGGTACTATCATCAGCCGAAAACAGTGGTGGCCTCCAGAAGTGAGGCTGATGCTCATGCAATAGGTCCCCGATCGACAACGGCTGATTGTAGTCCAGCATTGTCACTCTGATGAATACTCATGACTTTTTCTGAGAACGGCGTGGTACCTTTTAGAAGTCCTTCTCTCCGATGTATGATGATAGAAAGCACACAGCTCCCCCCTAGGACATTTCCCTCGAGATTTCCAATCACAACCTACATGACGGTATATATCCAACATAGTAGAGGTAACCCTACAAGGCATAGTCTTATAGTAAGATGGATGGTAAAGTTGCTCCTTGCTACCGTGAGAATACGGACAGCGATGACCATGTGGACACCGACTGCCGTATTCTGACCACACTCTACTCTTACTCCAGTAGGGACAAGGTTCACTCCCATACCCCAACACTGGTGCTCCTGGCAAGCACGAGAGATTATTTGGCATCATGTGAGATTGCCTTACTGCGACAATCCTGGTAAGTGTGGGCGTAATAGCAACGGTGCCAATCATGTTGAACACCATAAGGGCACCAAAGGGTCTTGAAATGATTAACGAAGAAATCGATTCCTTTCCTGGCCTCCTGCTCTTCTGTAAACATTTTACCATTTATCTGAAATGAATGCAACACAGTAAGATAACGTAACAGCTCCCTGCAAAGGGAGAGGCAGCTAGTTGGAACTCCTTGAAATTAAATCGGTGCCGCTAGATAGGAAATGGTCAAAAACCACCACGACTATGATAAGATCTACAGAGTCAGCATCATTCCCCTTTCGAATGCCCTACGATAGATCAAGCTGCTACACAGCGAGCATATCAAGCAGCCCACATCTACTAAACCAGGAGTAGAAAGTCTCGTCAAAATAAAAAAGTTTTAACAAGTAACTACATCCCAGCTGCACAGCTTCTGAATAAGGCACGGTAGCGATTACTCAATAAACTTCTTTTAATTCCTCAATGAAATTCCTCTACATGCGATAAATTACACTTATTCGTACTGATAATAGCAACATTACCTCACTCCTATCGTGGGCGAAGGCACACTGGCGAGCTCTCACACAATTGGACACATTAGGCCATGTTGCACAGAACCTCTGTTTGAATATAGTGGGGTGATACCTATCTACGTGTCACCAACACTACTCTAGGCTGCCAACCCTTACAGTAGCTCGAGTCTTGAGTGGCGCTTGCTGCAGTGGTCACCCTTATCACAGCTCATCACATTTGAGTCAACCTCAAAATGCTGAGGGCATTGCTCGGCCTTGTAAGTGATCGGATAGCGTCTACGGTCCCGATAGTTGTGGTAGAAAGGACACACTTTACGGTCGTGCACCTGTCATAGTCTACAATGGAATTTCACACATGATATGAAAAACACTGGTGAAAACGACATACTTCACATTTTACTTCGCGAAAAGTGAATGACGCGTAAAACACGTGATGCGTTTTACGTAAAATGAAGTCATTTTTCCGTTGTAAATTCGACGAGTATTTCCAATTCAATTGCGTTTTTCACATAGAGTATCACACCACCTCACGTAAAACGGGTTAAACTCCAATATACACTATCATAGAGAATTCGAGATATTAGAATTCAAGGGAGCCCGAGCCTATGAAGGCTCACCTGTTCCTTAGGGCAGAGCTCAACCTTGAAGGCGTCGACTGCACTAGACGCTTCATGTCGTATGTCAAGCCGTGAAATACTCTTCATTTTGCAGGAGTCGTCGCCTCTATCACAGTTAACGGCAGCCAAACAAGGAAACCTAATGTTAATGATGAACCAGTGAGAGCCCATGAGCACTCACAGGTCTAGAGAGCGGGTAGAAATGAATAGTTGAGATACCCCACCGGTGGGAGGTGCAGTGGTCACAGTAGGCGCCTTGCTACAAGGAGTGAGAGAAAGCGGCCCTCTATGTGGGGTTGTCGGGTGGACGGACGGAGGGGCTAAATTAGTCCGCATAGTGTAGATTAGCAATACTAGGTACAGTCAAACCTGAGCCGATGCGACGTTGACAAACTCCTAACGTAACACATCAACAACAGGCTATGATGAAATGAATGATGACTCATATAATCATGATTAGGTTTATCTAGCACTGAAAACGTCAAGGGAAAGGACTATACGATAAAGTTCACGACAGTGATGACAATAGATGACGACCACTTAGCATGCGAATGGATGAAAGCTTTTCGCAGTTGGAGCGAATTCATGAATCTATCGATGGTCCAAACGGTACAAGCGGGAAACAGTCCATACTAGGCTCTATGAAAAGGATTGGGCCATAGAGTACAGGACTGACGACTCGACAGTGATAGATAAGTTATAACTATGGAAGGCGGGTCATCAGTGGTCGCGTTACACTTTAAGTACTCGAGCGTGGTGTTGTCCAACTTGGTCGAACTGTTATTCTACGTAACGGCAAGGTGAACTGACAACGCCGAAGGAATAGTTCTTGAGGAACTATTAGAGAGCAAGTTTTCAAGATATCGGACAAGATGAGGAAAGGAGACCTTTATGATTTTCTCTACTAGACTGTTGTGGACTCATTGCTAGAGTCAATCAACTGGGTGGAATCCACCCAATCAAGGGAAACAGCGGCATCATTGATCAAGCCTTTCGGGTAGTAGGAGCCAGCCTGGTCGGTCTTCAGTTTTTTCCCTCCCTCCTATGTACAGCCGTAACACCCTATATGTGGGTAATATATCCTCTCGAACTACAGAGAGGGATATCCGCGATGAATTCTCCGAGTATGGTCGTGTTATACGCTGCTACATGCCTCCTGGGAAGAACATATGCTTCGTGGAATACGACAGGGAAAGGGACGCGGAGGATGCCCATAGAGGCATGTCACGTGCTAAGATAGGAGGAGTTTCTGTTACAGTGGAGTGGGCTAAGGCGGGACCACGGTAATAGGAAACCTCGACAGCTCTCAGATGCCTGTGTCCTCATCAGTGACCGTCTGAGGCGTAGATCCCCAGAGAGATACCATAGAAGGCGCTATTCCCGTAGTGTCTCCTCATCGTCGTCGAGGAGCCGCTCTAGAGATAGAAGGAGGTCTTCCCATAAGGAGAGTAGGAGGAGGAGGAGATCCCCAAGCTCGAGGTCTTATAGGTAATTCCCAGTTCTCGCAGGTCTCACTGCATCCAACTACTGTGTATAGTAAGGACTGGATGATATTAGCTCTCGAATGATGGTGTATCAGCCGGGTGTCATGACCCTCCTCCTATCCTCCTCCTCCTACTACCCGGGTCGAGCCGAACCTCTACCGTTCCCTCCCATTATCAGCTCCGATTCGAGATCGCCAAGGAAGGATCGTCGAGGACGCAGCGGTTCGCGTGACAAAAAGGAGTCTCCTAGTAAGCGTGATGAGAGCTCTAGTAGGTCGCCGAGAAAGGAGAGCCAAGATGTTAGGAAGTGAAGAAGGTGTGGTATTATATGATTGTCATCAGCTTTAAAAATCTCATTCAGCTGCCAGTAGCCTAGTCTTTTTCTAACTATCAAAACGTTGTTGTGCTGCAGTATATTCAGGAGAGATCTACACGTGTAGTTCTTGCTATGGCCTCGGCGTCCCCCAAGCCAGGTGGAGTGCCTTGTGGTTCTCTGTTCTTGGCTATCAGTAGAGCTGCTACTGAAAAAGCAGTGAAGGATGCAATAGATGCCAACCAGGATGCCATAGCCCGGCTAAGGATGGGAATGGACGCCTATTACTCAACGCCGAAGTAGTACAGGGCTTGGAGTATGATAGTACTATAGGAAGCTTTGTGATATAGGTTTAGTCCATCGCTCAAGCACACACAAAGCACGAGTGTTGGCGATCTCAACGATGAAGCTGATGCTTTTGCGGTAATAAAAGAGCTCAGGGGGGAGCATTGATTTTTCGATGAGTATTTCGCGGAGCGGTATGTGCATCCTTTCCAGGCCTCCCAGGACCAGTCAATGCAGTACCATCTCCTCCTAGTTATGTTGGATAGAGCTGCGGCGAGCGCTAAAGGTAGGAAGGAGATCACTACTGCTTATTATGGTAGCCTTTGTGCTAGATGAGTGCGCTGCTGTGCTTCGAGATCTCATTCTGAATCACGACTTGGTCAAGCGCATTGTCGACTGCTGTGCTATAGAGGAGCTCCCCGACGGTTGCCGAGATACCCTGAGAGACCAAGCTGCTGCGGTAGCTGAATATAGGGGGGTTAGTGTTAGTCGAGACTGGTTGCTCAGGTGCTCATGGCCTTATTCAGTAGCAATATTGTGAATGTGGATGTTGGACTTGCTCAATACACAGCTAATAGGCTTCTAAGTAGTAGTAAGGGTAGTCGTAAGAATAATGCCAATGCTAGTGCAGTGGTACCTATCTCTTGAAATTCTTAATGAAAAGGATTGTAGCCTTCTTGTTTGCTTCTCTCGTAACGATAGTTGGCTGGCTCCAAGGTTTAATTTCACCAGAGGCTCGGGCCCATTCTATTGCCGTGCATTCATAATAGTAGTAGTGATACTACCAGTATCAACAATACTTAGTATATCTGGTGCTTGCAATTAACTTGTCGCTGTAGCCTCCTTGTCGTAGTATTAGGCAATGCTCTCGAACGAGCCATCATCATCATTCGTGTGGTCGAGTCGTGTCCCAGTAGTAGCAAGAGGCAGTATGTTCAGGTGCATCGTCTCCTCGTCCGCTGAACTGTCTGGTGGTCATCACTATGGTGGAACACAATATAGCTCTCATCGAGTCATCTACTGTCAGTGCCCTACATCAGGCTCTTCTGGATGCCACTGATTGTCCTGCTGGAGCACAGAACTCATCAGTCGCCTCGGTAAGCCTTCCCATTGCATATACCTCACATAGGTAGAATATATTCACTTAACTTGGACGCAATATTTTGAATAATGTTTGCCTAGTGGACTCAGAGCTTGTAGATTCGTCGTTGTGTATATGCCCTTACAAAGCAATATATACTGTTGGTGCCCTTAACGATTATAGCCATTCAACGCCCTAGGAGAACCTCACAAATTCGTCATAGTGATGCTGTTATTTTTTTCAGTTGTTGGGATCATGGTCAGCGGTACTGTCCAGTGCAGGGTCATCTCAATATCATTCCTTGCGAGCAGAGGTTGACCGTAAACTTCTTGTTGCCTATACGAAGTCCCAAGGCCGCCTCACTATAGCTCAAGGCCTTAGTGATATGGTAGAGCTCCATGGCGTGCTCGTCATCATCAGTCATAGTACCCTTTCAGGCGACCGCAGCGTCGGACCTAGTTGATAGTTTGCAATGTGGCGAGGCAGTGTTTGCTGAACCACAAGGCCATTGTCTCCTAACCGCTTTGGTTAGGCTGTTGAGGACCTTCGACGCCACTTCTACTAATTTCGTATCTGCTGGCATGTCTGGAGCAGTCGTACAGTGTATATGTTCTGCTGGGCCGGCTACTGATGAGTTATTCAGTACTGATGCATATGATCTTTGCCTACAGGCAGTATCGAATTCACCAGAGTCTACTGGTCCATGGTCACTAATACACATGATGGCGGGATTGAACCCGGGACCTTCCGCGAGAGAGCAGTTGGCAGGGACCGCTGTCGAGTCGTGCTGGTTGAAGTTATCTGAGCTGCCTACTGCTATATACCGTCGCCGATCCCATTCCCATGTAGTGCTCACTCAGAGCGTCTACGTGTACGAGCTCTTCTTCACCTCACTGTTGGGACTGCCTATCTCGACAGAGGTCCTCAACATGTACCCTTCTCCCGTCATTCCGGTCGGCTCGGAATTTCCTGTCCTACGGCTGGAAAATGGGGAGAGAGTGGTACGGCTCAGCTTACCAGCGGATCAGCCACTCAGGCCGACACATATGGCATTGTCATTGCTTGCAGTGGTGTCCGACAACAGCGCGCGCCTCACTGATCGATTTACTCTCATGCGGCCTATTGCTGACCTCGTTGGTGCTGCATTCAGTGTGGCACGGATACTGGTGGAGGCAGGCTCGTGCGGCGAAGAGGACACCTCGCGGTTGTGGGCAGTGGGGCTGACGTTGAGGAGGAGTAAGGGCCTGGAGGGTCCCGTCAACCAAGGGGCGCTCAGGTTGCTAAAGGCGCTTGTGGACCGCCCAATGGCAAACGATGGAAGCTACTATATCGATCGTCTCTGTGAGGATCTCAGTGGTGCTTCCTGCCATGAACTGGAAAGTGGTACTCTTTGTAAAGCACTATTGGAATTGCTCGTGGCTTTGGTGAGGCAACCGAATAATGATTGGCCTAGAAGAGCTGTCGGACGAGTGGTTATGTCTGTGGTACCAAAATGGCTGTCGAATTTGGGGCCTCGCAGTATCCTTCCCGATTCCTTAGAGCTGCTGAATCAGCTCCTAGACAGATGCTTGAGGCCCTTTGGTGCTGATGGCTTGAAGGTCACTCGTATAGAAGCGGAAAAGATATCGCAGATGGGACAAGGCTCGCATCAGTCGGGATCTGTAGCGGCAGCCAAGGCATTACTTGCTACTCGGTAAGCTTTTGAGGGAGGGATGGAAGACTCACAGTTCACACTGTAATTTTTCTAGCGGTAGCCTTAGCGCAGTCAGATTCATATTTTTGCAGTATTGTAGCGAATGTGAACAAGTTTTTACGCATATTATGCATCTATGTACATATGGAGTGTTTTTTGTAAGGAAGGATACGTTATAAAGCTAGCGATCGTGAGTCTGTCTGTTGGTATTATATATCGGATCAGGCCCATTTGTATTTGACAAGACCATATAGTGTGATCGAAAGTTCCCCCTTCCCCCCTCAGAACTGAGCAGAGCTCTCTGGTAGCCGATCTCCTTTCGGATGGTGCTGTGTATGCAGCGCTGCTGTCAATGCTTCAACGGCCTCCTGTGGAGTCCTCTGACTCAGCGACCCAGAAGACTAAGCGGGCAAGGCATTATGTGAACCCATTGCAGAGGAGCTGTCCGGTTTCTAATGATAAAGCGCAGAGTCTAGCTGTTGAGGTGAGGACTTGGGAAAGAGTGAATCGCTATGGTGGCGTATGGTAGGTGCAACTCGGCGCTATGAAGGCCCTGATGACCCTCTTTGAGTGTTCGGACTCCCTCTGTGATGACGAGGTTTATACGGCTTTGGCTACCCTCATATTGGGTGACGAGATGGTCGCTCTCACCACGGATGCACTTCCTGCATGGCTCGCTGTTTATGTACGTATTGTTGTTCATGGTCCTGTAGAGTAGCATCGATGCACGCTTAGATATTGGAATATGACTCCTCCCCGACTCTGGCACTGGCTGCTACGGATACATTCAAGGCTTTGTGCATCTATTTGGCACGAAGAGGAGTCCATTTGGTAGAGCGGGTTCAGGAAACTGCCTGGCGTGAAATTGTGATATCCCCGATGAAATGGTGGAATCTGTAGGCGAGTCCTGTGAGTGGTAATGTCACTTCTGGCCTGAAATATTTGGAGTTTTGATGTTGACGTTGAAACGAGTATACTTTCATTTCCGTGATATTTTCATCCACGGGATGTCTGTGTTCAGGTGACACATGCAGAGGGTCCAACATCGCGACTCATGCCTCGACTCGTGAGGTATCTTGTCGAGCATAAGTCCAAGATAGTGGAGTTCAGAGATCTCCTTACAGTGGGGCTAAGGACACAACCTACAGTCTTCATCCACGTCCCGAAGTTGAAGGAATTGGCTCAGTCGCTACAGCAGTCGTATCACTCTGAAGCGCTACTGTATCTAACGCAGAGACATAAGGTCTACCAGTTCCTCGATCTGGACCTGCTGTTGGAGCATGCGGAACGAGCGATCGATGCGGAGATGCTGCTGTCGATCGCCTTGCAAGGTCTTGTTGCGAGAGACGGAAAAGTGAAGGCTTTCGTACCGAAGGTTCTGCGAAATGAGAAGTTGTTGAAGTTGGTATTTGGTGAGCATCGGAAAGACTGGGCTGGCGGGGATGCGTTTTCGGAGGGATGGCATATGGAGGGTGGTGAAGGGCATTCTGAGGGTTGGGTTGTGCCGTCTCCTGAGGAGGTGGACGACATAGGCCTCTTTAACGCCTTCTTAGAGCGTTACGGTTTACGACGAGAGTTCATAGACGATGGTGATGGGAAGGTCCACATCCCCACTGTTGAAGCTATATGCCGGGCTATGAAGACTGATGATTCGTCAGTTCGGAGTGTGAGAATTAACACTTGGAAGCGTATGAACAAATCTGCTGCAAAAGTGAGATGATGATTCACAGCTTCGCTCCGCCGGCCTGTGTTCATGGATGGTTATTTTAGAACCAGCATCGTATACACGTTGTGGATGTCTACACCTCACTAGTGCGGGAAGCTGTGGTGCAGAGCATTTCATCGACTGACGACGGCAAATCCGATGGTAGCAGACGAGAAGGAAATCACGATGGAGCTCTGAAGTTATTGTGATCAGATATGAAAGTAGACACCTCTCTGTGTTTGGAATCAACACTTCGGGTCTTCACTCTATACCAGTATCGGCTCGTCACGTAAGGCGGCGTAGCGGTCCTGTTGTAGTTACTGCTACTGCTTATTCGTTGTTAGGAATCGGCAGCTTTATGTGGGCATGTTGGGACTCCTACAGAGACTCTTGTCGAGACCGGAATCCCCTGGTGACACGGCGGTAAGGTGTCACTAGTGGTCGTTGTCTGATGGGAGATTCGAACCATGATTTGTAAACGCATCTGTGTGGATTCTACCGTGTATATCTCTGTTACGAAGGGTTGATTACTTATCTGTCAGGGCGATTCATATGTATCCTCCTTGGTCCTACCGCCGGGTGATTCTCTTGGTACCGCGGCATCATCACTGAATGCTCAAGAGGTCTCCAAGGCTCTGCAGGCGTTGACCAAAACTCTCGAAATTGAAGTGGACTTGACTGAGGTACGGTAGAGTTTCTGTGTACCGGTTTTTTTGGGGGGAAAAGACGCGATTTTCAATTTTTTTCCTAAACTTGAAATTAGGGATATAGCGAGTATAAAATACACATCAACGCAGCTGGATATCTGTAATCGTAGTTTGGGATGACAAGGATTCTGAGGAGAGACCTCCTCTCCCTAGTTGGGCATTATATATGGGGTCGTAGGCTAGATCATGCGAATGATAGTCCCATGCAGTTGATGTTGTGTACGTATAGTATACTGCGCGAAGTTCACTCATCGCATGAACCTATCTATGTTATATATAGTGTCGAAAATGGACTAGGGAAACGAAAATAACTCCACAACGGAGAATTTTCTCCACATGCGCACACTTGTAACCGCTCACAGACTCCCTTGTTTCAGTGCCATGACCCTAAGCAAGCGGCGCGGAGTCTATGGAGGCTGTGGTCCACGGTGGTCGGCCTTATGATGCAGAGGGCAGCTTCGGATCTCCCTAAGGCAGATGTCGATGGTCTGGTTACGCCAGTTACGGGGTAAGCCATTATTAGTCTGAACTTGGGCTCTAGTTGCTATGACAGGCTCCTGCAGAGTCTTCTTGATCGACGCTCACCAGCGCTGCAGCACTGTCTTCAATGCTGTTGCGAGATCCTCACTCAGGCTCTGTCGATCTGGCCTGCATGTCGGACTCCTCAGCTCCTCAGTTGTATACAGGAGTGTGGTATAGCACATAGGGTTGACTCTGGGCACATGGGTGTTCTGATAGCCCTATTGCAGTCACTAGGAGTGAGATCGATCTCTTGCTCATCAATAACAGGGGACGGCTGCTTCCCTTAGGCACCTCCGTCGCAGTTGTCACCTCTACTGAGCGGAAGGAAGGGCAAACTGCAGAGAGTTTACACGGGGCCGGCCTATGTGAAGGGGACCAGGGCGGCAGCTTACCAGAGCTGGTTGGCAGATCTTTATGTGGCGAGTCGTGCTATAGAAGTGGGTTGATTATACTTGGTAGCGATTTTACTTGACGATTTAGGTCACTCGAATACCAGTGTTGTCCGACTCTGACCAGTGGCCTGTCCATGTCCTTGCTCGGGGGGCTCATTGTGGTGAGTTAGCTGGTGTGGAGGAAGCCAGTCTGGTGGCAAGTAAGCATCTCTCTGGCGTTTCTGTAGTCGTTCTGTGTTCTGGGACTTCCTTTGGAAGGTTGGAGGTATAGAAAAATGTCATGCACGTCGCCTTATGAATCCCACAGGGCGTGCCGACTCGGTATGCAAGTGTGGAAAATTTCGGGCGTTATTTTCCGGGATTAATGATGGTGGACAAGTTGTCATAATCACAGTCTCACACGGTTACTTTCATCACATCATATGTCCGTTGCAAGGCTTATGCGGCATAATTTCGGATCGATTCTCTTTAGTCTCGGAAAATAACGTACATTCTCCACATTTGCATAGTGAATTCGCACGCACTGTAGCATCCCGCCTCAGAATTTGTGTTGTTCAGATTTGCTCCGTAATAGTGGCAAACCAGTGCCTGGTGGGTTTGCGTATGCTTCCCTGTTGACCCAGGACGTTGACACTATGTACCATAATTCCTACTATTCATCTCAGGAGACGGCATTGCTCCCCTGGTAGGTATCCTAAATCTAGAGTGGAGAAGCTGCAAGGAAGGTGCGACATCCAGAGCATCTTCGACGATGAGGTGGTTACTGTTGGTGCGAATGCCCCGAGTATATACACTCAGCGGATCTACTGGTAGGTGGCTCACAGAATCAAATTTCATGACTGGGTGAGCGCGGGTGCGATGGTAGACGAATAAACAGCGATTTTGGTTCATTCGCGTCTCCGTTTTGATGCTGTAACTTCCTCCAGTGATTTGACCTAAGCTCTCCTTCCCTGTCGTTTTGTTATTCCTTCTTCTATTGATATCTGCAGCTTGGACATAGCATGAGCTGCAGTAGTCGCTGTTGAGAACGTCAATACCCATGACGCTTCCGCCTGGTCCTGGATTTCCCATGAGTGCATACCATTTCGTATCAATAGGTTATGCCTGGACATCATAGAGTGTACAGTCCTTGCACCGTCGCCTCCTCCCAGTGATCACGCATTCAACGCCCATTTCGAGGCATTGTTGGACTGTATACGACGGGTAGGTTGAGGGACATAAATGTACCTGTTTTGTATCTTGCATATATGCATCGAGAGGAGATTACTCTCGAGTTAGCGGTATCAGCAATTGTCAGGAATAGTGTCTAGACTGCAAAGCTCTGCAACTGTCTTGCCCTACTGTCTTCACTTACAGATATGCGACTTCATAGCAGCTACGTTGTGTTCACCAGAGTCGTTGAGGAGTTCGCTGCTGATGTGCAGATGGAAGAGCCAGATGTAACTACCTTGGAGCTTCCCACCATATCCCATTGAAGCGCGGTGCTCTTTTTGATTTCAGTGCCGTACCGTTGTCATTGTGGCTTTGCCCACATAGTCTCGAGACGAAATCTGGAGTAGCATCAGCGCATCCACCTACTCCTAAGGTTAGTAGTGCCTATCCAACTTGGGTTCACAAGAGTGTGGTATAGGTGAGGGCTGCCAAGGAAACTAAGGAGCCTTTGTCTCCTCTACACGGAGCTCTCGACGAGGCGTTCATGCAGAAGGTTCATGTAAGTTGGTAATCATTGAGGTAGTTCGTTACTGGCTTAGCTGTGGCAGGGATACAGTGCTAAGACCAACACTGCACTGATGGATGTCTCCCCTCACTACGATGCACTATGTTGGGGGGTCTCCCCGCTGTTACCAAGGGAGGCCTTCGTGGCAGAGACCGGTGCCATGTTGGCGGATATATGCCCAGCTCATGTGAGTCAATCTGCACAGTGCCTCGCGGAGTAGTTGCTTGTGTCTAGGTCACGATTGACGAGTGGATCGATAAGTGTTCTAGAACACTGGAGTTGACCGCGATGCGACTATTAGCTCTCACTGATGTGTCGAAGAGCAGTTCCAAGCCACGTGCTGCATATGATGTCTTAGCTACAGTCCGGAGTGAGGAGATGTAGGTTAGAAGACCGGCCTATGATGCTCCCGTCGCTGGCTCACGACCGTGGGTAGGTTCTCGACCCCTGGCACAATAACAGATCGATGTAGAGATTCTGTGGACTTGGTTTTGTTACGGCTCCAGAATCTCGTACAGAAGACCATGGCTACAGGTGAAACTGCTAGGAGTGTCTCAGCGGTCGAATCTTTCCTTAGACCCGATTCTCCCGATGGTCGAGGAACCGCAGCTATGGGCACTTGCAGGATAGTAGCACATTACGTATTATACACAATTCCTTGACTAGCTGGTTTGTGTTGAGTTCGTGATTGGGATTTTCATGCCCTTCAAAGTCATCTTGTGGTGGACATAATGCAGGCGACGGAGGTTGTGATGATACGAGAGCTCTTGGAAGACCATCGATTTAGAGCTCACGCTGCTGATGATAGAGTCGTTAGAGTTTGCGCCGAGGTGCGTTCTTCTACTAGGACTAGGACTAAGACGATCATGTCCTTGTGAGGTGCTCCGTTCTGAGAGTGTTAACGGTGGTCGTATGCTACTGCTTCATGACAGAGGAGCCTGCATCTGGGCAGATGCGACGGAGATGTGGAAGCCTTGCAAGCACGTGTGAGCCGCTATCAGCGCACTGCCACTGTTGATCTTAATGTGACAGAGGTGTCGGCTCATGGGTTACAGTCATTGCAACATTTCGGCCCGATGTGGTTCGTGATCTGCCGGAAGACCTCAATCGAGAGCATCCTCAGCTGTTTACGACACAGCAGTGCATCGACGAAGCAGGCATGGAAGTTCCAGAGCTGAAAGTCGGGCGGGGTCTTGGGCTGTCGACCAAGCACATTTTCCCTCTTGTCTCGTCTCGAACTACTTCCCAGTAGCTGTGTTTGAAGATGGAATGTCCCTTCTTATGCAGCCGATGTATTCTTCGATTGAAGAATTGGTGATTTCGTTTATGAGTTCGTCTTACTGTGGTTAGCTGTCTGACTCGGCTCCCTTGCGATAATCAAGTCAATAACGCCATAAGCATCGTTTTTTCATCGAATGCTCTCCGGAATGGTCTTGATGCTGTTGCCGTTATAAGCCGCGGACTCTATCCTGTGGTTTTTAGTTATCCTGTCCTCTCATCAGGTGGGCCTCCTCATACCATGCGAGGTAGACGTTGTAGATATGACCGTCTATGAACGATGCGTTAAAGTAAGAGAACATATGCGGTTATTTCAGCATTGAGTTCGCTTCCGGGGTGCTATGACATGGCCCTGAGTGTTGAAGTCAGCGCCTGGGTTGCAATTCGGTCATTCTAGGTCTTTGTTACTCCACAATACTGCTGATTCGCCGTTGCCTTTCTGTTGGTCAGATAAAACGTAACTTCTGTCGCTTACACTCCATGGGACCTGTTCTTCGAGGCGCATGAAAGGACCAACGGTTTCCAAGCATCATCTCATATAGTGCGTTCGTCAGAGTGTGATGTGCTCCTCAGTAGGAAGGCTTACCCTCCTATGTCCGATCACAACATCGCTCCATGGGATACGGCTGAGGCTGTTGCCACAATGCGAAATACTACCATGGTGGTCGACGAGATCCGAGCTGACGTTATTCTTGAGCTATCGGAGCAGGCCCCTCTGCCTGATGATGGCGATTCGGTGATAGCTCCAATGCCCAAGGATGATGAGCCAGACATACCCCCCGATGCTCTGATGGAGATTCCCTACCACGAGATGAAGGTATGGGGTGCGGATTAGAGATTAACGACTTCGAATGATAACCTTCTGTACCGGCTTGCGAGTTGCTGAACGGCTGGTGGACTCGCGTTGTCAGACTCCGTGCCTCGTTCGAACTTCCATTGGACTACGGTTCACCCTAGCCTAGGAGTTTCATCAAGGGTGAGCCCTAGGCTAGGGAACCCCCCGTCTGAGCTTATAGCGGCCAGTTTGTTGGCTTCCGTCATGTGAACTGGGCATCGTCCCACATCGAGGGGACATTAAATGCGCGTTCTCCTAAGGTTATGATCACCACTCCGCAATACCGAGGTGTTCCGCGTGGTGGCTTAATCATTTCCAACTCGGCGAAGAGGGTTGCGAGTGCCTTGTTGACTGATCCTGAGCCAAGTACTGTGACCTCAAATCCAACATTTACACCCGGAGTGCCCCTCCAGGTCCTGTGTTCTCGTTCCGCGACAAGGTCCCGGATCCATCTAAGTCGGACTTCCTTCTTCTCCTCTCTTCCATTCGACGTCGTGGTCCTGCCATTCACATGCTCTCTCTGGGGGAAGTGGCTGTTTTGGGCAAGGATTTGGAGTGTATTGCAGCCCTAGGTGAGATGGATAGTCGTAGATATCGCAATACAAGGTTTGTCGAATTCAGTGGACCTTCTTGATGACGGTTATGTATACGCGTGTGATTTCGGAGAGCTCCGGTTCACGACGTATGCCATAATAACCTTGCTGAAAGCAATCAGGGGAGACAACGCCAACAGCCCACCGCCTACGAATCTGGCTTTTGTATTTCTGGACTCTGCGGTGAGTACTTACGTATCGATATGTTTCTCGCAGAGGGAGAACGGTGGTTTCTTCAGCTCGGGTTAACCAACGCACAGATCCAAGATATCAAAGAATCCACTAGGAGGCGAAGATGCGCTGATAAAAAGCTCTTGCCAAATCAGTGAGTGCAGTTGTGGCTGAAATCGAACGGACGTGTTTCGGTGGGTCTATCATTAACGAATCGTGAAGATCCCGAAATTCGGGGTGCATCCCATCCTTGCATAAGTTGTGAATTGAACCTTCCATGCCTGTGGAGCACATGATTGGTATGGATAGCGTACTATGGAATCGCGAGTAGAATCCATCTTCATCAATACTATGTAGTTGCGGAGTCAGCAATGCTAACTCGGGCTAACGTATTAGACTGTACTAGCTACATGCTAGTAGCTGACAGCTTGAGTCCCTCAAAGCCTGTCACCCTACTGTGTTCCCTCAGGGTCGACAGGCTTCATGGAGCATGGCTCCTCCCCGGCTCGTTCCAATGGATTATGGAAAGCGAGAATTTAACACGCTGCTTCTGGAGGCCCTATCAGGTGGTGACGTAGTCTCCCGGACCACATCTATCGAGCTCTTTGAGCCGGTCTGCAGCTCATCTTTCTTGAACGAACAGTTTCCTTTTTTCCAGGAACGTCTCTTTTGGGAACGGATGGGCTTCAAGGTTCCCGTGGTGAAGAAAGGGATCAATGATTCGAACAAATGGGTTAACTACTATGTCCAAGAGTTAACAAAGAGATTTCATAAGGGGACTATCAGCGCATCTATGCTGCATACTGTAGATCCCGATGATAGGTGGCCAGACTTGCGCTTCGAGCAATGGAAGACTGATCGTGCTCTCAGATGTTACCTCGATGATTGCCTCGAGCAGTGGTCTAGAGTGAGCCTCCTGCGCATGAAGGCTCGTCTGAGACCATCTAGCGTCCCCTCGAGTGGACGGAAATCTGAGTCGCCGGCAGCTAAAAGGGCTAGGAAGATGTCGACAACAGCTGCTCGTACATCGACCGCCTCGCAAGGCGGATCAAGCGATCCTGGCTGCAGGAGCGGTGCCAGCTCCCGTCCATGTCCATCTGTCTCGGCAAGTGTGCCACAAAAGTCGCCGGTTCTGAGGAAGGCTATACCTAAGAGCGGCACTCTTAATCACCCACTTTCACCTCGGCTTATAAGCATCGGTACTGCCCGAGCTACTATGACTGGGACGTCCAAGTTTCCTATGAAAGCAGTAAGGCCGGGGCCGACTCCCAATGATGCAGTCGAAACGTTCCCTCCTGGTGTACATACTGTGACGAATTTCCTTGAGGCTAATGATGAAAATGACTCGGCTGTATCACTGCCTCGTTCATGCTGTCTTGCCGGCAGCGGAAACAAATCATCAGCGAAGTCACCCTCCGAAGGGCATAACAAAACCTCGCAGACGCCACGGATAGCGACTCCGATGCAAGGTGGATTCCCGCGAGCTGGTATGGGTTATCTCCAAGTCAGTGAATCGAAGTCATTGACAAGCCCCATTTCTACGGCTGCTGTACAGTCGTCGGCGTTTCTTTCCGAGAGCGATATTCGGAAAGTGGTTGCGTCCCAATTCGGGATGTCGAAACCAACCAGTAAAGCACAATTCAAGCTTGAGCTATCCTCGCCTCTGCCTCCCGGTGTATCTCCTAGCGCCTTGAGTCCGAGGTTGAAGACTGCTGCAACTGCTGCTAAATCCAAACAAGCGACCGACACTCTGCATGATACTCATTCAAGTGGTCCGTCTTCTTTTGACAGCACGGATGGGCAGCACTTCGAGCCTGTTGAAGTGGGAGCAATTACAGCCCGATTGACTGCCATGAGTAGTACTCCTACAAGCTCCCCGAATTATAACTCCGTTGTTCTATCGGCCGAAAAGACTTCACTTCCTCGTGGTAACGAATCGGGCAACGACTCCTAACTGCGAAAGCAAAATGTCCTGCTATCTATGGTAGCCAAGGGTATATGGGATGTGATTCACATCATGCGAAGAACGGTTTCTCGGATGTTAGCTAGATAAGCAGCAAAGAGCGTCAAACGGGGCAGCTTCTCGATTCATGATGCTCATGCTGGCCTTGTCGTCGCATTACGTTTACTATCATTGTCACTTTATGGATTACGGGAATTCTGTCCGATGGTTGGATTTGATATTGAGTCAGTAACTGTGAAGACACTCGTATGGTCTCGCGTGGAGCGAGTCGCGTCCCATGCGCACGTCTTTCCAGGATACCACGTCGCCGTCTCTTCTTAGTTGCTTCTGCTCGTTGATTCCATTCATCTCATGTGGATGCTCAACTCTGACGACATTGTCACGGCTCAATAAGTAAAATCAATCTTTGTACATCGAAATGGACGAAATAGGGATCTGGAAGTACAACCTTTGAAATCCATCGAATAGATCGAAGATGCCATCTTCAAGATGGGCTTATGATTGAGTCAAACACTTCCCGTGGCTTATCCGTCAAACAATTTGACGGATTAGCCATGGGAAGTGTCTAATAGGACACTTCATAGCGATCCTTAGAAGTGACCGGAGCTCAATTACGTTGGTATCATACAAGAGATGACAAGACAATACAGCGAGACGCCAAAGGACGCGTTTAGTTCTCTACCTTTATTTTGCTGGAGGAGAAGGGAAGCGATTTAAGAGAGATGAAGAACGCACTATAGTGAGTCAAGATTGAGTTGAGGAGCGTAATGTCGGTCATCCGTCATCAAATTTCCCACTAGGTATTAACAGAATGATATCAATCCTTGAAACTGGATGTTTCAATGAAACAGTTTCATGACGTTTGACGTCCGACGTTAATATCTCGAAGAGCAGCTCAGAATTTGCAGATGACGGTCTCTGATGATAGCGATGAGATTATCTCGTTAGTAGCACGCAGTGTGCGTTAGTGCGTGACGCAGACCAAAACTGGACGTGCCACAGTTTCCCCAGCGGCTGGGGGACTCACTTGGGGGTCCAACCTACACGTTCCCTTTGGCTTCGCTCATCTGCCTTCTTACTAACGACGTGTATGTCCCAAGTCTAATTCGGAGGACTTTGGCATCCGGGACTCGGAGGCATCCGGAGTCCGGATGCTATCGAAAATGTGCGCGGAACCATGCGAGTGAAAAATTAGTACGTACCAGTTTTCTTCCTGAAGAAAGATTTGTGCCGCATGGAAAAAAATGTACCGCGCGCGAGAAAAAAATCCGAGGTATCGCGCGAAGAGCGGACGGCTCCAACGCATGCGTCTGGAAACACGATGAATTTGGATCAGGTATCAAAGTCAACAAGTGATCTGGGGCGGTATGCGGATACTGATTCGAAAATCACAGGCACTGACTCAACTCACTATCTGATTTCCGATTTTGATTCAACTCACACCATGATTCACAAGTGTTGATTCAGGTTCCGTATTCATGAGTAAGATTCATGATTCGTGAGTATGATTCGCGAGTACGATTCCTGGTTTCTGACTTTTCTCAAGCGTTGATTTTGATTCTTGACTCAGAATCATGATTCCTGATTCAGAATCATACTCAGCCACTGATTCTGATTGTGAATCAATGAGTCAGAGTATTTACTCAACCCAGTGAGTAAGAATCATGATTCTAGATTTTTTCAACGTGATTGTGATTCAAAACTCATACTCGTGAGTATTTTACTCAAGTCGAGAACGACACAGATTCAGAATCAGATTTTTACTCAGCATGTGATTCCGAATCATACTCACGCCGTGAGTATCTCCATTTTCCACGTTATTTTGCCGTGATTCGTATCGGGGGTCCGGACCACTGACAGGAACACAAGGCCCACAAAATCATCGGAAAGATGAGGGTAACTACGACCCGAACTACTCTACATAATGATCATTCCCTTCGATCCCCTCAGGCGAAATATTCGGCAACATGAGCGTCCCTCCACTCTATGCCCGCCATAGCTTCAGCACCCGGTTCGACGGCCTCTTCGTCGATCTCGCACTCTCCCTCATTATCATCTTCCATCTGATCGAGGTCTCCCCTGAGACTCTGGTAATTATGCAAGCAAAAGCACGCTAGAACCGCCCGTGCACTTTTCACCGGGGGGCGAAGACTAAGATTGCCGTCGCATATCGCCCACGACCTCTTCAGTCTCCTGCACATTGAGTGATATATGCCTCTTAGAGTCGATATAGTCCGTCCTGTTATCCAATGGCACAACGTCCCTTAAAATCACATGTGTTCCGCCAATTAAACCAATACAACGAGGCAGTCGTGGATCAACGTCTGCGTCACCACTTAGGATGCGGTTGTCGTCAGGGAACTCTATGAATCTGTTACAATCATCCACGATAGCTTTGAAAGCAGCCTCGAGGTCCTCACCAAGCCCAGTGGAACGAGTGTTCCCGTCTATAAGGTCCTGTATTGAAAGTAACCATTCTTCAGTGCACATCGCTTCTTCCGTCGCAGGCGGCCCTCCTCCCGTCTTCACAGGGTAAAATCTTTGCCGACGGACAATTGATACACGACCAACAACTGAGTATAAGTGAATCAGAAGTTTTACAGACAAAACCCAAGCATCACCTTTCGTCATCTGCTCCTTGATAACCTTCAGTTGCTTGACAGAAAGCGATGTCCCGAATCTTAGCGCCGCCCCCTCATGTTCATCGTCCCCACAATGCCCTCGACTTTTTCCTAAGTACTGTTGATGGTCATCGCTCTCGGGTTCGCGCTCTTCTCTCTACTCTTGGGTCTCACCGCCGCCAGTCTGGTACTGTGCATCTCTATTTGGGCCCTTCACGCACATCGTCAAGGAACCATCTCCCTCCAATACTTCCTTTGTAGGTCAAATCTATAGCGAAGCACTGGAAAGCATACTAACATAATCAGTTGAATTCGCGATGAACGAGATTTACTAGCACAGTAAAAGACGGCGGAGGTATAGCTCACCAAGGAGAGTGTCAGATAAGTGGAGGAGAAGGAACGCAGGGGTATATGCAGCCCTCTTTGAGCGAGCACCTAACCAGGCCCATTGCTATCTGCAGGACTTGTACTAAACCCTGAAGCATCGCCTGTTCGCGAGAAAGTGAAATCGCACACTATAAGCCATTGATGACACTACCGAGTCTGAGGGAGGGGGGCTGTATCTTCCAATGAACAGGTCCGACCTTAGAGTGTTGACATTCCCGTTACGGAAAAAGGAGAAAGCACGGGCGGGTTTAGTCAAAAGGGGCGGGTCAAGAAACGCCGATGGGCGAAAGAAGAAAACTTCGGAGGCCGGATGAAAAAACGGCAATGGGCGAAAAAAGAAATTTCGGAGGGCGGGTCAAGAAATGCCCATGGGCGGCATAAGAAAATTTGTGAGCGGAGCGAGAAATGTGGCGGGCGCGCAGCGGCAAGCGCCCGTTCCTGCACACTCCCTCAGTGTCACCGTGATTTCACGAAAGCTCTCAAGAAGCCTAGGGCGCGCGCGAAGATGAAGGGTCTGCGTCATGTTTTCACCAGTTCGATTTCCGCATCTCTTTTCGTCTTTTATTCAATGAGCCATGTAGTCGTGATTATATTGGCGAAGTCTCGTGCCCGAAGGTTGCTAATTTGCTACAACAGAGGTTTTCAATTGGCTCTAATCTGTACCCCAGTAGTATAATAATCAACAATGTCTGAAATTTCTAAGATGGCCTTCCCTCCGTCATCGTTATCACAATCTGTCGCCGAACCTGCCGCGCCCGAGCAGAGGGATAGCCTATATGCCAGCCGCATGGTTGCCTCCGACTGCCCCTCTATTAATTTGTCTAAACAATCACAGGCTCGCAATCCTGCTACAACTCGAGCAGTAGGTTCTGATGGCAATCAGAATGAGCTTGATCGAAGGTCATCATGTCGTTCGTTGCCGGAGACGGCTGTGGTAATATCGTTGTGGGCTGGTTGTTGCCTCTTGGATTTGTCTACCTGTTTACGATAACTAATTCTTGTAGTGTCGTATCTTTTATCAGATATTCGACTGGGATGATACTCTTCTGCCATCTTCTTTTGTAACAAATCCAAGAGAACCATTTGCTGAAAAATTAGCAGCCGCGCGTCTTCTTCAAACACAAGTTCTGAAGTTATTGGTAAGATGGAAATGTCTTAGTTTTGCTCTCCTGTCGAGACTAACAGTGCTTCAATTTTCGTGATAACTGCTGTTCAGGGACGAGCCCTCTCGTTATCCCATCGTTATGTGTTTATTCTAACCAGCAGTGGGCCTGGCTGGGTACAGCAATCTTGTATGTTGTATTACCCGCAAGTGCTCCCTTTGCTATCTAAGGTCACTATTGTGCATGCTGACGAGTGAGTTATCGCACGGCGGAGCCTCACCTAGGTGGATTCCTCACGCTTTCAGGTTCTGTCGGGAGTTCGCCATGGTAAACCTGCAATTTCGTCAGTATTGCAATTCTGGGTATTGTCGATCACCGAAGCTCGCTTCAGTTTTAGCGATACTTCCCGCGTTGCAACCAGAGCCCCAAAGAGTGGTAATAAACTGGCAGTGAATGGGCATGTTTAGTAGGAGCATTATCCTAGGCCCCTGCCTTTCTCTCCGAGTGATTCGCCCGTATTGAATCGGGACGTGAATTTTGGGATGTTGATGATGATAGGTTTTGTTAAGGTGCTTATTGGTGATCAATATGCGGACGTGTCTATCGCTGAGGCTCTACGCCAACGTGGTGGGGATATCAGAACATGCCTATTCGCAGTGGAACCAACAGCAAGAGAGCTTGTAAGTGTACAGCTCACCTTGTTCGTGTTGGAATCACGTCTACGTGTAGGGGCGTGAGCTGGAGTGGCTGTTGGATGGAGACATGTTCGGTCGTTTATGTGTTGACAACGAGCTAAGGCAACGCAACTTCGCTTTGAAGCGGAGTAGTGGAACTAGCGAGCGTTCGACGGAAGACGGAGGCTCTGAACGGTCGTCCTCTTTCAGCAGTGAGACTGATCATCTTGGCGAGGGTAATATAGTACAGCTTTCGGTCTTGGGCGGCGCAATAGCAGGAATTGTTCCGAAGTGGAATAGTCCTCTTAGATCCCTCTATGGGGTGCGACGCGCTCAAGAGAGAGGCGGAGCACATCGATGAGGAGAAATCAAGGAGATGTGTCAGTACTGGCGTCACTGAGGAGGTAGTAACATCTGGTCGTTGACGCAGAATAAGTGCAGAAATTGTTGGTTTGTGAGCTGAGCGCGCGAGTGAGTGATGATACGCTAGTCGCGCCTGACATGCAGCTGTTATTAGTATGATGCCATGGGTGATATGATTAAGTAGGCATCGTGTAATTGGATGATAATCATATAGGTTCATCGTGGGGAGGATCTACCTTGAGAAGATTAGGTAGTACCAATGATAGAAATCTCTTCGCGGCGGTGACCATGAAGGAGATGTCGCTTTTGAATATCTATTGACCACTATCACATATCCAGACCATTTGCTCAAGGTCTATCATTGATGTCATTATCTATCGTAAACTACTACTCTGAGAGATGATATTTGCTGAACTAGGATCACAGTACATTATGAGTGAAGTTGATGTTGTTCAGCACATCTATTCAGTAGTCGTCAATTCGGCTGCACACTAGTTATCATTGCAGCACTTTTTGGTATATATATTCCCGATGTTTATAAGTCTGCGTTGAGGTTGGGCTCGTCTAGAGGGCGCTCCCCATCGTTTTTGTGTCTATACTATTATTCTTCGGCACGGTGAACTCGATTCATCGTAGCATATGCATCTGGGGTATCAATTTAGCGTTAACCTTTTCCTGGTAGTCTTCTTGTAGCTTGATGGGGTAGTAGTTGAAATAGTCGGGCATTTGCGGGGCCTGGCAAAAGTTAACTCGCACTTCACAGCCAGCTTTTTTATAGTCATGATTGGTGACCATGATCCTAGGAGTGATCCCGCAAGGTTGCGGCACCTGTTGTTGAGTGCTCGCCGTCGTTCGTTCGCCTCTAGTATTACGAAGTATCGCTTGATGAGGTATCTCTCGGGCTCGCGGATGGTTGGATCTATGCCGAAGTCGGCACTCGGTACATTGATCAGTTCACTTTTTTTATCGGTCTTCTATATTCAGTGCTTGTTGTGTTGGTAGTTGTCGATTACGTGATGTTTAGTAGGTATGATCAACTACTAGTTGATCATACTTACTTTAGTAGGTATACTTACTTACTTATCATATCTACTAAACATCACGTAATCGCATCAAAATACTGTACTGAATACTCTAGGAGGGTAATGGTGTTAAAGAGAATAGTGAAGGGATTATGTCTGTGTAGTTTGAATGTGATGTCGGCAGAAAGTGGCGATGATGATCCAGAACTAGCAGAGGCCATTCGACTGTCTTTAATAGATTCCAAGGCGGAGCAAATCAATAGAGGTATTCGTTGACCTCAACATTTCTAGAGGCTCTATCTTCGTCCCTAGCGGCTACTCTGGTGTTCCGAGGTCGCTATGTTTTGTGCCTTGCAGTTCAGTGTGCTAAGATGCTGTTTCAACTAGGCTTGTGGTTTTCGTGGGTTCTGTCATGTGGGTAGTCTTCATTTTCAGATGCTCAAGATGTCGGCTTGCAACAGACGCTACGGCTGAGCATGTCTGATCAAGCTGGGTCCAGCGAGAATAGAGTAGTGATGTGTGCTATTGTAGTTTACTATAGTTACACTTTAGGCACCGTCAGAGGTTGAGGAGGTATTCCCAAGTGCTAATGAGTACGCGGAAGCTATGGCTCAGCTGTACCAGGCGGGCTTGACGCCAACGTACGACCTTTCTATGAGTGAGCGTTCCTAAACGTGTTGCTGATGGATATGGTGCTTTTTTTAGCGCTCGAGAAAGTTGGTGGAGGAGATGAACAGTCCTGGATAGAGAGCCCGGAGTGCAAACGGATGCGATCAAATAGCTTAGTTCTCGATTCGGAAGGTCCCCGGTTCGATCCCGGCGAGATGCATTTTTCTGAGATCTCAGCTGGCTTAGCTGATGAGGTGTCATGCAACACCGCTAGCGATGGCATAGTCCTTGTCCTCAGTTATGGGATGTGTTTTTCGGTCCTGGTCCTGTCCCAGGAGAGGGATGTACAAAAGATGATGTTCAGCGGTGGATGCATCAGCCTCTCACAGCAGTACTACCATACGGCATAATGTGTGTTGAGGCTTGCTTGTAGTGGTGGGCAGTTGAGGAGGGCGATCATCGCGAGACACTGCCCTTCATAGTTCAGCAGGGTGGAGGCCCTTGTGGAGTCCTGGCAGCTCTGGAAGGGTTCCTCCTGCGTTATCTCATGTATGCAACAGCAAGGGGGGGACACGCAGTTATACGGATGTTTCGCTGTAGATTTCCTGATCATGGAGAAGGGCCTGTAGAGAACTTCGAGTCGATTTCGGCAGAAGCACGCACAGGCGCTCTTATTGATTCCATGGCGACGATGATGTGAGTCTATCACGTGGCTATTCCACGCTGATAGTCGGCGACTCTGATTGGGTGGCTCGTTGGTCAGGACACGCTGTAAGAGCCCAGAAGGCAGCGATGGTTATATATGCATACTTGTTGGATCGAATTCCATAGACGGGTCCGGAGGCCCCCCTACTATGTGGAGGAGAAGTATGGAGACAATTGAGGAATATCAGAAGCTGCTAATTCAGTATACGGAGCCCCTCTTGAGCTCACCGACGGCCGTTGTATCGTTCGTAATGCCTTCACGTGTAGTAGGAGGCATTGTACTCTCTGATGGAGCTCAGGTACTGTCCCTTATACTCACTAGAGGTGGGCCAGCCGTGTGCCGGTCTGACATGGATGATCCAAGTAGTATCCTTGACGGCGATTGGGTGTAGATGGTAATGTGATTGTTAGGTAGTGTCTTGGTGGGCATGTTTGGCCACTGCTCGCAGGAGTTGGTCAATCTCTGTCTGCTCGGCCGTTGTGTCTCAAATGTTTTTGATGGTGAAGAGTCTATGGGAGGTGGGATGATGCTCCGTGGGGTAAGGCTAGGAGGGCGCTATGGTGTTGATTTCTCAAGGGGACTCATCATAGGTTCCTGTTGAAGTGCCAGTTGTGGTAGGCTACATCACTGAGCTGGAGGCTCTCAGGTAGACGCCTCTTATAGGGTTGGGGTAGTGCGAGTTGGCGGAGTTTAGGTATGTCACGGTGGGCAGTCAGTATAAGAACCCCCTACTGCCCTTTTGGGTTATTGGCTCGCCCAATCATTACACTTTGCTTTACTCGCGAAATATCAACTGCGTGAAGCGGAATCCTGTCAGTGTAGTGAAGGATAAACTGAAGGACGCCTTTGATGCCAATTGTAAGTGCTGGTACTAGTACAGTTCCTCGGAGGTCTGGTGCTTCTCGGTGAATCTGTGATATCAGGACGTTATATATCTACTTAGTAGGTACTGATGAAGGCATCGCCACAGTAGAACAGATGGATAAAATGATCGCTATTGATCTGCCTGATGAGCTCGTATGTGAACTGGCTCGAGCAGTTGTGGTAGGTGTGCTGTAGATACCACAGGGCGTCTCTCGAGAGGAGATCTTAGCTATGGTGAAAAAAGAAGCTCTGGAGGGCTCCATTGTAAAAACGCCTAAGTATGGTCACTTGTATTTCTTTCGGCCTTAGGTGCTGTATGATACCTTCCAGAGCATCTTCTGTAAGGCTCTATTCGGGGAGAGCAAGCTGGAGGAGTTGGAAACTAGCCTGAGCAGACCGTCGGCCTACTCCCTGTACGAGGAAGAGTTTATGATGCCCTATTGGAAGTAGCTCACCTACAGGTATCTCTACGATGGTCAGAAGCCTGGTGGGCCAAGCTTGAGTGAAATCAAGGTGAGCTCAGTACGATTTGCAATATGAGCTTCCGTGCACGCGACCTACTCACAAGCGGTTGGAATTTGGAGTTGAAATGTCTGTTGTATAACTATTGTATAGCTCAGTACTAGTATACTCAATGTTGACATCGATTCTCATACGCACAGTAGTTCACGAGGGCTGTTCTTAACGCTGTGGAAGGTTGTCAATGTGGTTGAGCCTTGATGGTGCTGTCCACAGGTCGTCACCACAAGCATCGACGGGAATTATGCTGTAGCAGATAACAGCGAGTCGTTACAGAGGACAATACACACTCGCTGGCCCAACGCTATCGTTGAGGTACAGCGTTCATCGTAGTTCGCGGGGTGATTGTGCGCCTTCTCAGATTCGACCATCTGTGAAGGAAGAGTCAGTCTTCTTAGTTGTGAGTGTTTCTCTAGGAGCTTGTCGAGTTGTGGCTTCGTATTCTGTCTGCTGAATTCGCATAGTGCTCAGTGAACCCATTCCGAAATCCTTAGTTGATGGCTTCAGTACTTTCGCTGTAGAGATGAGTTTCACACTGAAATTGGCATCTTGATAATTGTTTCCGAAATTCTATGAATAAATGACTACCCGTGGGTCTACTGTGGGATCTCATCCTATACGCCGAATATCCTCGCTGGCTGCATACGACGGATGGATTAAATGAATATATACTCAATATTATCAGCTTTTACCATCTCCATAATGTCAAACGGCTCGATCTCTGCTCGCCCATCGACGGACGACGTAGCCCACCGACCTCATATTGCTGTCATCGGCGCCGGACTAGCTGGACTCACCTGTGCTACTTACCTCGTCATGAATGGAGTTAGAGTCACGTTGATTGAGAAGGAGGCTAGGATGGGCGGCCAGTGCTGGACGCGATACGAGGACAATGGGGTGAGCTCATTGGGCACTATAGCGGTCCTTTGCTGTATAGTAGTTCCTATTGAGTATAACGATGGACTATAGATCTGTGATACAGTGTAGAGTGTATATCATATAGATGTTATGTTGGTGATGCAGTTATAGAGTATAAGGAGGACTCTCGGTGTGTCGCTATCATCTTGTTGAACAACAACATCATCGTTTTCACACGAGCTTATTCTTGCAGGTTACTTGGGAGGCTGGTGGTGAAGGCTTCGTCCGTCGAGCTGTTGCAGTACCTAGAATAGCGAGGGCGCTTGGCATCGAGGAGGATATCGTCCCCCAGGAGCCTGTTGAGAACTACGAGATTGACGAGAACTGTACTAGCGTCCCCCCACTGGTTTGTACTCTATTCTCGATGGTGGTTAGATACACTGATCCAGTTGGACCGAGGAGTAGCTGCAAAGAAGCTGGGCTTCCAGGTCAAGAAGGAGGACTTCGGCCGAGGTGAGAATCGCATGGTCATGTTATTCATCAGTGGAGAATACACTTCTCGTTATAACTGGGCTGCGTTACACTTCACTTTCACCCGTGATATAAAAACACTAGTGAAAAATATATTTCACGACAACCGCATGACACTGATATAACGTTTTTCACAGAGTATTACGGCAACTCGCGTGAGACAGGTGAAACTCCAGTGTCGAAATATATGTTTGCTTTCCTCAGCTGAACTCAAGAGATTCCTCGTTACAATATGACGCTTCAGGCTAGAAGTGTACTAAAACAACATGAATTTCGCAAAATTTCTTCAAAATTTTCATCTTGTCGGCACCACACGTAGTTGACCACGTGAGTATTTTCCAACACTGCTATACATTGCCGAGTATCGTTATTGTAGGTATCTCTAGTTTCCGAAGAGGTATGGGAGAGCTGATCGATTCAATGCACTCATGTCTCGAGGAATCACCTCTTTGCGATATCAAACTCAACACCGAGGTCTCTTTACTCGAACGTGGTGCTGATGCCGCAAGGACGAGAGTGACATGGGATGGTGGCGAGATGGTTGCGGATGAAGTAGTGATCGCCACACCGGAGAAGGCGGCTTGCGCTATGCTTGGGGAAGAGCCTTTCCATGGTGAGCTTATGAGCCATGTGTCCGTCTACTGCCTGGTCCGGGAACTCAGTGAAAGCGAAGGCTGGCACAGTTTCTCGATCCCTGCGGACATGCAGAGCGATTTCGATGGTCTGCGTGCTGTGGCACTCGTAGATGAGAAGTTCCCTGGTAGATCTCCTCCAGGGACGGCGTTGTTTAGATGCTACTACAGGCCTCGTACTGAGCCCTTGAGGAATTGGTCTGATGATGAATGGTCTCAGCTGGCCTCTCGAGCTCTGATGAAGATATGCTCGCTTGCGGATCATGACGTGTTGGCGTCCTACGTATCCCGATGGGATTCTGCACTACCGGTTTTCAATGATGAGTACCGCGCGGCCGTCGAAAAACTGAGGGGGTCGGTCGCAGACCAGCATGTTCATCTTATCGGGGCGGCTTTCGCTGGGGCTGGCATCGAGGCGGCGGTGAAGTCTGGCGAGGATGCAGCTGTAGAAATACTCAAGATGAGGCCCCAGTTCAATGCGGTCGTTGCCTCTATGGAAACTCACCAATCGGTATGATTCGTATGGCGATCTATGATGATATTGGACGTGCATGAGGAGAAGTTGCTTACTGTTCCTAACAATTTGCTTAGGACCTTGGTTCGAATCCTAGGTCCTCCGTTTTATCTCCTCGAAGTGTCCCGGCAGCTAGCCTCAACTTTCACACAGCCAGACTCGTGTTAGTATAGTCAATAATTTTGAATTCGTGCGTTCCTCTCGGAGACGTAACTGTGACTAGTCGCTGTTGTAGTACTAATACATGACAGACGAGGATTCAAGGCAGTGCCAGAAGAAATCATCTCATCACCAACCTGCTGCTGCTGCTGGTGGTAAAGGCAGCAGCATACTGTATTGGAGTTTCATCTCGTGGTTGGTGCCATTCATCGTTTCGATTCCCTTCTTCGATGATGAGGGCGAGCTCCAGCTGGAGGAGTATACGTTCAAAAACTGTATGGTGAGACAGAAGTTTGTTATCTGGTTTCATTTGAAGCCATTCTCAGGTTATTGTTGGAACTTCTTGTGGCCTAGGGTGTTTACTGCGAGTGTGCCCTAAGGACCGTCCTCTTTCCTATCTGAGGGCTCTATGGCTCTCTGCATGTTTCATCGGTATGAACTTGCTCCTAGACACTCTAATATTGCTTCCCCTATTGAAGGCCAGGCCGGCTAGGGAAGGTACGTAGAGTTGGAAGAGTGACTCGGCAATGATCAGTGTGGGGGGGGGGGGGGAATATGCGCATTGTCAACTATATGTGCTAGTGACAATGAGAACATTCTGAGGAACATTTTGGGAATTCTTGTTGGTTTCTGTACACTTCTACTCGAATTTGTATGCAATTGAGGGAATGCTCGAGCTCAGTTGAGGGAAGCGAACATACATTGCAACACTGCGTCACCATCATTTCTGCAAACGTTTTTATTTTCCGTGAGCAATACGCCCGTTACCAGCAGGTACCGAGGAGACCTTCGGGACGTACTTCCGCAAGATTGGCACGGTGTACTTGTCGATAATCCCACAGACTCTTGCTCTAAGCGCTGCGAGTCATTGGTGCGATTCAGTTGCACGGAGCAGGGAAAATTAGATATGAAATAATTTCCTGAAAAGTGCTAGTACTGCGTTCTCAATGACCAATGATTGGCTGATATTATTCATGCGCGATCGTAGTGTTCTCGCCTTTGGAAGGCACAGTTGAACTGAAACCCTTAGAATTGAGAAGAGCGTCTTAATTCAAGCACCAGCGGCCGTTTAATGGCGTGCGCCATACACATAGGCATACTCGGCACAGGAGGATGCTGCTAACCTGGTTCGTGTCGCGTGTACCATTGATTCATATTATCTCTTTTCACGAAAACCGTGCTATGACGAACCCATCCAAGTGCAACAACATCCGTATGTTGCCTCTTCCTTAAGCGATGTCGATCAAGCTCCTTCGTATCATACAATATCCTGCACTGTAGTAGCAGTACTAACACCATACTCTACAGAAATATCTCATCTTCTGAGCGACAAGTATCATATCAGTATTGACAGTTTCGAAGAGAACGATGGCTCAACGATGAAAAACCGGTCGGATTCGCTAGGACCAGCAGCGATATGAATCGTAATGTACAGTCTCAAATATAACACAACAGCCGCGGGTTCACGCGAGGAAACATCTACTAACTCTTACAGATGATAGCCATAAAAGCATTGATCCGTCTCATCGAGCACCAAAACTTTATTTCGTCGGCGGCATGTAAGCACTAGTGAATAAATGCCTTGCCTTTCGAATCGGGTTGGGCTTGTTATCGATACGTTCGATGTAATCACCGTAACTCGACGGATCCATAAACTGATAGAGAGTGACGTCCAGTAAGGTCCAGCAAGATGGAAGGACTCACCTGGTATGATCCAGCAGGCTGTTCCTCTTCTGGGGTTGGGAATAGCTGCGTGTCCGGATTATTATTTCCATAAGGAATCATACCAAACCTCCCTGCAAAATGAATCTCATTTATTTCATGATAGGAAAAGCATATTACATTGGACCTTATCGGGTACTCCCTGTAAGGGAAGAGGCTCCTCTTCATCAACCTTCAAAGCTTCACATCTGAGATACATCAGATCGGAAAGTGAAAATGTTCCAACGAGAACCGCAAAGGCCGTGCCACAAAAGCCCACATTACAGCTTGGAAAAACTCCTCTGCTCGGTTGCCTCCGAGATAGCCTTATCCCACAAGCCATTGAGCCTGTTGCAGGTATCATTATACTCCTTTTCCTGAATAGTAAAGCGCTGAGTTGATTTGAGTGGTAGCAGGGACACCGACCTTCTTCGCCTCAGCCTGTTGCTTAGTATCCCAGAAGCCCTTATCAGCCAACTCGTTAGCTTGGGCGTAGGAGTGCATCTTGTCTAGATAGAACCTTCGAAAGAAGCTGGTAGAAGACAACCACAAGGATGAACTCTCACCAGTGGTTGTTCATGTCCCCATAAGTATATCGTAGAGATAGAGAATAGGCCAACCACAAACCAAAGACAGCGACGACTTTCTGAGGGTATTACGCATGAGTCTATAACTCATCGGCTACATTACATGTAAAAAACCTGGGCAGTTATACTGCACGAACCGGCCTAGAGGCTGCGTCACATACTGAGCCGATTCCTTGGCCACCCCAAACATGGATTTAGCTGAGACAATCGGCGAGTGATACTAAAGGGATTGCTTCTGACTTTACCGATGTTTTCCATGGCTGGTCTCCTAGCTCTCAGCCACATAGTGGCGGGAACGTAGTTCCAGTGAGCACCAAAGTAATGCTTGTCGGGAATGGAGGGTTGGTAGCAATACTTCAAGTAGTCCTGAAACAATAAATGCTTATGAGAGAGCTCGACAAAATAGTCGTATAGAAAATCACATATCAGTGGCCTGCGAAGACGAGTGACAGCAAAGCTCGTCAGAGGCATTAGCCTGGGCACAGAATTCTCCCAGACTGCGCCGAAGGAGGTTCATAACGATAAGGAGCGAATCAGAGTTTCTATTGAGACTATAAGCATTGATTCCATGTTGCGAGCGGCATAGTCGTGTCCTTCTTCGAGACAATAGACCATCACAGTGTAGATGATGACCATCCACACGAGAGCGTTCAAGGGCGTGGAGCACCAAAGTATTCCTACCTTGCTGGGAAGCGTCCATCTTGGTTTCACATCCCCGCCGCCAGACCTCGCGATTCGAGAGAAGCGTAAAAGGCCCCGTTGAACAGACATAACCAATGATACACGGAGATATGTGCAGACGTTCGCAGAGGTGACCATGAAAAGTCATATCGATCACGATGGCGTGCGCGTTGTTTCGGAAAAGCATCGTGAGACACGAGCATACGCGTGCAGCCTCTACACCATCCTGAGACATCTCTTTGCCTGGGGGTTCTGATCCGATTCGTGAGTAGAAGAGCATGCTTTCGCTTCTGATTCGTGACCCTGTCCTTGCTGACTCGAAAACTGTGCTTTAGAGTGCTCTGGGTTGCGCTAGCATCAGTTTTATACATTTTGTTGTGATTTTATGGCTCTTCGCTCCAAAGACGCTGATTTTGAGAACTTCTGCACCCAGGCCAAGTCTCTGATGGGTAATAGTAACAGCATCGGTCGCCTCTAGGGGAGGCTAAAGGGTAGGAACATGCCACTGTAACGGCAGGTAACGACCTAGACGATGATTGGCTCCTTGAGATGTGGAGTGGTGCAGATGGCGATCTCAATAGAGCTCTCAATCATGTACCGAGTAGCTAGGAGAATTTTACTAGAGGAAGTGCTGCTCTTCTTAGGTCCTGGACTCACCTGAAGACAAGGTTAAGCGAAGCGGAGGGGGGCATAAGTAAGAAGCTCTCTATGAGCAATCTCACGAAAAGGACTCTATGCTAGGTCTAGTAGTGCTGCTGCTCCTCCTCCGCCGCAGCCGCCGGCACCCAAGACCCCCAAGAAGAAGAAGCATCATAAGCCTTCTCCTCCTCCGGCACCTGCAGCTGATTGGGATGACGAGTAATATGATTAGACGATTCTTGACAGAATTGATACAGCCGTCGCGATATACGATAGACGATATAAAGTACCGGTGGTCAGCTTGCCGTTTTTGCTAGGTACGATGATCCGTTCTTCCAAACGCCAGTACCAGCAGCCCCTCCTGCACCTGCTCCCCAAGCAGCAGCAGCACCTCCACCACCACCTCCTCCTCCTCCTCAGCAGCAGCAGCAGCAGCAACCACCAGCTACGGTAGGTTCTCCGTACGGTAGGGCTTTGTTCCTACCATCAGCGTGCTCATAGGCCCCTGCTGTGCAACAACAAGGATATCAGCAGCCTGGTTACCCACCGCAGATGATGCCATCTCAGCCGGTAAGGGGTCATGGGGTACCAGTTATTGTAGTGAGTGAATTTTAGGGAATGTATTATAATGGACCTCAGCAGCCTATGAATACAATGCCCAATATGGCCATGCCGCCTCAGACCATGCCGGGGATGATGCCAGTAGGGATCATCTCAACTCTGCGAGCGAGATCGTTACCCACGCCCGATCCACTTGAGAGAATGCGTCTAACTCCTGGCGAAATGTTCTCATTTTTCGAGCTTATTGTGGTAGTCACCGAATCGTCTTCAGACACAGCCGGTAGGCATGGGACCGCCTGGTACGATGCCGCCTCAACAGTTGCCCATGGGTCCGATGAATCCTCAGGGTCTGCAGACACAACAACAAATGATGTTTGTAAGTCTTCCATGGTTGGTCGCTGTTAGCTTGTGTAACGGCTTGGTCTCAGATACAAAATCAACAACAGCAGCTACTCGTTAATCTTAAGTATCAACTGGATACGGTAATAGGGCTCAGCCAAAGTTGATATCTGCCGAGTAGTAGTTTTCTAGTGTGCACGTATAAATTAAAACATCTTTTTTAATCGCAGTTTTTCTGTATAGTGTGAGTTGTCTCCTCACCTTCCATCTCTCCGATGTTGTCAGGTGCTAGCTAATCCCGCCATGTTGCAAAACCCCATGCTCATGCAGCAGCTGTACGATACTATGTCTGTGAGTAGACGTTGTTGTCTGTTCTCATGGGAGCCTTGTTTTGGGTATCTTAGGCTGCAATGGAGGCACCGGCTACAACTCTACAGCTTTCTGAAAAAGCTCGACAGAATGAGCAGACGGCGCAGTTCATACAGATGATGCAGGTAGTGATATGCAGAAAGGGCCCCAGGAGAGGAATCAAAATTAGTCTACACGCTAAGCCAGTTGTCCACGTATATAAGTGGTTTCATCCCGCCATTGAGTATCCTGAGAGAGCTTGCCCTGACTAAGTCGTTGGTGAAATTTTCGTCATTGTTTGTGGAACTCGCTATTGCAGATCCTGTTGATATAGCAATCGTATTGTTTATCACTGGCTGTTCAGGCACAGATATCTCAAATGTTGGGTAATCCCCAGGTTGCGGCAAACCCTCAACTCTTGCAACATCTCAATACTCAAATGAATCAACTACGACTCATCACGATGCAGCATGTAAGAGCGGCGCTTTCATCTCGAATGCCTATATTGTTTTATATGCTTTAGGTTGCCTCCCAGAATCTGTTGGCGAATCCTGCAACGTCTCTCGCTCTGTCGTCGTCTCTTCTGGATAAGAGTCTTGGCTTCTCGTCCACGCCAGATCTCAAGAGTGCGCTAGCCGGTAGTGTTCCTTATAGTTGTCTGATATGCACCGGAAAGGTCTGTCTCAGAGCTCTCTGACTCGGATGAAGATGATGACGATGAGGAGTCGGATGGCGAGTGGTGGAAGGGGAAATCGGCCCCGAGCAAGAAATCAAAAAAAGCTGTGAGTCGATAGCGCAGGGGTGGAGAATATGCACATGGTCAACTACATGCGTTGGTGGCAATACCGGAGTTGTGAAAAAATTTTGGAAAATTCATATTGGTTTCTGAGCATTTCTATCCGAATTCGTATATGATTAATTAGTGAAGATACTCCGGGGCTCAACTGAGGGAGTCCAATATATATTCCGATTATAGTGATGACGAGACGTTGCTGCACAGTCTTGTTCGTCAGGGGTCCACGCCTGATTTATCCGCTACGAATCCCTTCAATGAACCGGAGGGGGAGGACGAGGTTGATGACGAGATAGCGACCAAGAAGAAGGATCGTAAGTTGGATGTGCATTGTGCCCAGTTATAAGAGCGCTGAAGGTGATCTCTAGGTCGGAAGGGGAAGAAGCGTACAGCATCAGCAAAGAGGATCAACAAGCTCATACGGAAGATAGGACTACGCCAGGCGCCAGTTGTTGCTCCTAGTAATGTCATTGTTGCCGATGCATGTCTGAGTATGCTTGCCAGGTGCTTCTCAGAGTAGCGCTATGATGATGATGCCGCCCCAGACGACCCCAATGGGTGGGTACTATCCGGGATATGGCCAACAGCAAGGATTCCCAACTGTTCCCAATATGATGTATCCGAGAACCACAGGATACATGATTTAGTTTGAGGGGAAGGCTGCTCGTAGCTGAACTGAGTTATTAAGGCGATGTAGTAGTTTCTGCGCTTCCGAAGTTGTAATAGTATAATAATAAGACGAAGTGCAGTTCGTTAAGTCTACATTCACCATTGAGCCAAGGTTACGGGGTATATCAATCCAGGCAAGGCCGCCTATTTCAACGAACGATCGAGTTTTGTTTAGTTATAGAAGCAATCGAGGTGGTAAGATAGTATATGCGATGTCCCAGCACAATGAGAGGGGCACATATAGCTCTCTAGTAGTTGAAGTAGTGTTACTGTTGCACAAAATGGTGCTTGAAAATCTTACTGGCACTTGAAATTATGCTATTCCTCGAAGAGCAAATGCTCGAATAGAGCATCTTAGGAGGGAGTAGAGAGAGGTGTTGCCAGAAGTAGAATAACTAGGTAGCCAATCACGTACTCGAAGAACTGAGAGGTTCAGTCCGAGACAAGTTGAGGAACAGCGCGAGAGGATGAGCGGTACACCAAATGTATCTTGAATATCCCACTCCTGGTCGCGCGGGCGTGGTAGGGTGGTTCGGTACGAACCGAACCTAGAAGTATCGATGAGGGGAACACACTCAGCGGCACAAGGGCTGAGTGGCCCTCAGTGAGTGTGCCGACAGTGCGTGCCTGCACCCTCTTCGATAATTGTTCCCGGGAGTGGAGGGATTTGGATGAAATAAAGAGGTTGCTCCAGCCCGCGACCAAGCCATGACGTACGGAAACGCGGGGAAGATCGGTTGTCCGTGAAAACAGTGAATCCTGGAAATGGTGAACCGAAATACATTTCCCGCGAACCCTGATAACAGTGAAGGAACTAGCGCGCGCCATGAGCGCGTGGCCACAAAATTCAAGCCGAGATCACCTCACGTCATATGTGTTGTAATCGACCGGTTGGTCTACACCTTTTCAATCTCAAATTCAGCAAGTGAAAGAACAAATTAGATGAATGAAATTAGACTATCGACGAGTGAAAGGTGATTTTCGCGAAATGAAAGTCCAAATTCGAAATGAAAGTTCGATTTTCGTGGACCGGTTGAAAATGAAAGTTCAAATTCGTAAATGAAATTCATGAATTCGGAAACGCAAGTTCAAATTCGTCGAACACAATACCAACGTTCGACCAATGAAAGCTCACTTTCATTCGATGGAAGAAAATTCTCGTTAGCGTTGTGCCACGGATTGTGACTTGCGACTCGCAAATTTGGAATGCTGATGGTGCTCTACGACCTGCACTGTAATGCTAGAACATCAGGATTAGCTAAATGCTAATTCTGAAACAGTACAGTGCAATTCAAAAATTTGCAATGAAGAATTTTCAGAGATTCGAACCGGAAGATTGTTCGAGTTTGATTCTCTAATGGAGGATCTCCATTGCCCTTCCGATGACATCGGAAGGATAATCGGGTCGGCACATGTTCGGTTGGGTTTCCGAACGGCCCAACCGGACTATCAGAACCGAACTGTGATCGACCGAATACCGAACCGGACCAAACTTCTACGAAAAGTTCAGGTTTCGACGGGTTACATCGATCCCGGACCGACGGTCCGACGGACCGATGTGACCCAACGTTCCGGAGAACCACCCGTGAATCTCACTCAGTGCAATAACTGTTCATATTTGAGAAGTACCTCGAGCAGTCTTCGCACATTGTGCGAGTTGCCAACTCGTGGAATGTGAATAGCGCATATCGAGACGTGGCGAAAGTGGGCTTTCATTGGTCGAAATTGGTCTTGTGTTTGACGAATTTGAACTTGCGTTTCCGAATCCATAAATTTCATTTACGAATTTGAACTTTCATTTTCAACCGGTCTCCGAAAATCGAACTTTCATTTCGAATTTGAACTTTCATCTCGTGAAAAACACCTTTCACTCGTCGAAAATCAAATTTCATTCAGCTAATTTGTTCTTTCAATTGTTGAACTTGAGATTGAAAAGGTGTAGTGGTTAGGCGTTAAAGTTAGTAACCGACTGTCCAAGTTTCTAATCCTGTGATCATTATTATGGTAATTTTGTAATTGAGACCCGGTTCAACCGCGGCGGTCGAGGTATTGACCAGCTCGGGCCAGTAATCTTGCCTAACTCAGCTGGCACGCCTCCTCAGCAGTTACTCCGGGTCCACGAGTTGTAATACAATGCTATCGAGGAGCTCAGTATAGAAGTTGTATTTGTTCATGTTCAAGAGGAACATGCATTGGGACCTGTTGCCTCATGCATTGCTATTTATCCTTGTGGTACTGCCAGAATTGTTCATCAACAAGGTTCCCATACTTCTCCTATAGTCACTACATTGGACTCAAACGCTTTGCTCATGGCAATCGCGTATTTCAGCTAGTTGGTTACGGATTGGAAACTCACTCCCTCGTAATGGAACAGTGGAACAGAAGACAAAATATTTGATCAAAAGTGGACTGGAGACGACACAGATTTCCGGAGCCCGAAGAAAGAGCACCATTCAGTACTTCGGAAGTACTACTTCCTATCCACAACCATGGCATAGGGTGACTCGAAAGCTATTACTAGACCGTTCGTGTTGCTCCTACTTTTGAAAAGTCGCTTCAAGACACGCAACGAAGAACTAGGCGTGAGAAAGATGACAATCTGTATAATATGGGCCCCGGACCTCAGTGGTCCAAAGCGCTGCGATTCTTGTGAGCAAGCTGACTACTCGAACATTAATCAACCGGAGAGAGAGTAGTCATTGAAAGTTGAATCGGTTCGGGAAGGAATGGTAGAAAAATTACTGATATTTAGGATACCGGTGCGGGCGAGTTTGTTGTTCACTATTGTCAGGCTTTCACCCGCTTTAGTGGGAGAAAAAGTCCCTACAACGGATTCACACGCCCTTCACCTTTTTCAGGATTCACTGTTTTCAGGCGGGGCCGGGAAGATCGTCTCACCTCACAGTTACATCTCTGCAGTGCGAATTGCTAGCGAAGCGACGCGACCATCCGCATCGGTATTTAGCTTACGTTAACAAGTAAACCCGTGATATCGTTTTACGAACGTAGCCACTTGGTACTAACTATATTAAGCCTGCTCAGAGCTGGGCAAAGTCCCGGTTACCGTGCTCTTACCAGACGGTAGGAGGCGGGTTGGGAAGGAGAGTGCCGTGGCGGCGCCACCAGGTAAGCCTGATTGCGGATGTCTCACACCCACTAGCTTCACCGAAATCATGCCACCGTTCGTTCGTTCACATATACCGCAGCGCGATAATCACACTCCAAAAGTGATCTATAGCGGTCAGCTGAGTGGACTAGGTCACCAAGCGAGTCTCATTGTTCAACTATCGGATACTTTCCTCAACCAATCCACCCACATCCTGTTGAAGTTAGCTTGGGAGGTATGAATAGTCCAGCGAGAGTCGTCCGCTAGAGAGCATGAGGACACTCTTTGGGGTTGGCGAGAGAATCCTGTGATCTCGCTGCTACTCCTTGGGAGGGAAGCATCCATCGTTTCAAGTTTCCAGAAATTCTTTTCACAGGATTTCGTGGTTTGGTCTCTCGAGTCTCACGAGTTCTGTGTCAACGTAGGATGCTTTCGCCCCACTACGGTAGTGCCACTGCCCACTACTCCAAACTAACTGAACGACTGGATTTTGTTGGACAACGAAGTGTATTCCGTTTAATGGAGTGATGAAAGCAATAAGACAGAAGAAAATACTCGACCAAAGTCGTGATACCAAGTCAATGCGACACGACGAATGAAGTGATCTGTGATCCTTCTGAGGGAATGAGACGCAGAGGGTACGACTCGCATCATGCGAGTCCTCCTCACTAGCAGTTAACCACTGAGAAAACGCTACTATCCTCCCCGAGAATGACTCATAGATATATTTCGGAGGAGGTAGCAGCGACGCGATCAATGAGCTACAATCATAGATGAGCACAAGTGGAGTCGAAGAAGCGACAGCATTGCGAGAGTCGGCCTTGAACAAACATTCTGATTTCATTTGCACGGCATCACTATCACGGCCCTAGATCGATGCTTCGGCTCAATGTGGAGCTCTGTCACGTTCCCTCCGATGAGCGAGCCCTCGATAACCGTATTTGCTGGGCCCCACAGCTTGAAGTTAACGTCCCAATCACAAGGCCAGGCAGGGAATAGCATGATGCCCTCCTCTTTATCATCCAATGGTTGTAGCAGCATGTACGTCATGGCGTTGTTCATAACAGCGTAATGCTCCGCCGAGGGGGGATAGTTTCGCAGGCGTGGTGCGAAAACAGGAAAACGGTATCCCTTGGCTGGACCGAGCTCTGCCCTAGCCACCACTAGAGATTGGGCAGTTTTCGCCAGACCGAGAAGAGCAGCGTCCATCACGTTTTGGTCCCATCCCACATCCGAAGTAAAGCGACGCTCTTTGAATGTAATTCTTCCCACCTGTTTATATGGGGACTTTGCAGTGATGATACGATAGGGATGAACAGCATAGAGGTCAGCATTTTCGACATTAGCAGGTCCAGGGCTACAGACCTCGCATGGCGCCAACTTCCAACCCCAAGTCTTAGCTTTGGTGAGGGGCACAAGGGGTAAGACAGACAGTAGCTTCTTCCATCTCAAGCGTTGTTCTGATGAGGTGAGATCATAGGGAAGTTTGACAAGGCGTGTGACAACAGCCCAGAGACCGGAAATAGTCGGCTGGTCATTCTTAGAACAGTTTTTACCAGCTACCATGTCTTTATATCCAGGACACTGCCAGGTCTCGACAGCTTGTGCTGGGAATAGCACCATCCTGCCCTCGACATCCTTCGCAGTCCTCCATTGGGAGAAGAAATTAATGACGGCGTCCATCAGGGGCAAGTTGGCCTTTAGGACATCGCGGTCCTTCGTCCAAGCGTAATGATCCAACATGAGAAGACAGAGATCGAGAGCTCCTTGAAGATTGAAGTGATTCCAACGGTCTTCGGCGTACCAGATAGGTGGATCTATGCTGCCTGCTCTTCCACAACCGTAAGTATCTGGATGTGTGGTACCGATAAGCGGATGTACGTATTCATCCCAGAAGGCAGTCGGACCCTTCATGTGGGGATAGTATAGAGCAGTCTTCGCCATGGTTCCATTCAAAGTTCGCTTATAAGCCTCAAACAACGTCTGTTGCATCGCAAAATCTCCTGCTGGCAGCATATTGTAGTAGGGTGCACGCAAATTTTGCCACCAGTTTAGACCTCCCCACTGACGATAGTCAGGATCGTTGCGCTGTGCAGTGAACAGCATTCCATTGAACTTGATGGGGAGCGGCTGCCGTGCTTGAAGACCCTGGAGATAACGCTGGAGTGCATATTTCTCACTCACGAGCGCCGCGTTTTCCCCAGAGATGCTTATCCAACTCGTTTCCCAGAAGCCTTTCCACCAATACACATGGGCTTTCCACGCCGGTAGCGGCTTATATTTATCAACAAGTGCTTCCGCGTCAGCGATCGCTTCCGATACAGCTCCTTCTTCTCTCGTTACTACCGAGATAAGATTCGACAAGGTGTTAACCTTCGCCTCTGTGCGGACGACCCCATCCGATATCCCACTCATAGATTCAGAGAACCTCCAAATAGCAACAGTAGACCTATCACGCAATCTATCTCCAAAACTGCTGGATGCTGATTCAAGGTTCAACTGCTTGAGAGTACTCGCTACAAAGTTGGAGCCATTGTTGGCGTGTCCCCATCCACCGGTGATACCATTAGGGCGCAGTACATAGAAATCCGCGCTGATATCGTACGTGAGGCAGTCGAATTGTGGCTTCAGTCGAGACGATGATGGTCGGAGAAGTTTCGCAGTGGCTGTTATGGTAACCTTTGTCGGTGAGCTGATATTAACTGCCAATACATCGTCGTTAGCATCGACGTAGGCAACGATGCGTGTGGGAGGGTTTCCAATATCAATCGATACAGTCCCCATGCTGGAGTTGAGTACCTACGGGCAGTGATGCGAACTTGGAAAGGACAGCGCCAAATTGCTCTTTACGGAAAAACACCCACCTGTTTGAAGGGGGTTTCGGATCCCGAAGTCCAAGGGCTAGGCGAGAAGTGATATATGACCTCGCCGACTTTCATGATCTCTCCGGCTTCATTCCAAGCACGTTGGTCGGATATGAGTATTCCCACGACCGGCTCCCATTCGTCTTTGTTGTCTACAAAGACATTGGCGGCTAAACCACCGTTGCCGATCGGCATCGAGTTGACGTAAGTAGTGGCGTCCTTCTCGGAGAGTAGATTCGTCCAGGTCACAGAGGGAGGTTGGTAGGACCAAGCCAGCCGAGCGGTGAAAAAACAGACCAGGAGTTGGAACGGAGCGTGCATAAGAGATGGGTAGCGCTACAGCAAATGATCCAGGTGATTGGAATCGGTGGCTTGATTAAATCAACGACACTCGAAGCGTCTCGTTATGAAATCTCCAGATTCCGTTCGCCTCTTTGCGCGCAGGTACAGCCCTTGCAACGTTGCGTGAAACTCACGCCGTGAATGCCGCGTGTGAGTAGCCATGTGTCGACCACGTGGCCTAAGGTGCGTGGGTGCCCTGGACCACCATGTCTAAGATCGTTGACCCCTCCACTCAACGCTCGACAGGAAGCCTCAGTCCTTCCATACAGCCCCGTCGTCCATTTCCCTAGGAGACGCATGATGTGTCGCACATCCCTATTATTTCTGGCAGTTCTGACGGATACTGATCGTAGAGTTACGCCCACGTTGAGCTGACAGCTTCAGCCAATACTATCATCATTGATGACAGTATTGGGTATCATAGAAGGAGCGACATGAGCTACGGTCCGTAGCTCATATCGCCTTTCGTGCTGTTCAGAAGATATCCTATTGGCATAAGGGGAATCCAATAACTCAAAATCGCAAAACGTGCTCACGTGTTCGACACCAGACGGAACCCACGTGGTTCCACCATCTTATTGAACGCTGTCACATTGGTTGTCCAAAAAAAATCAAGATTACAAGCTTTAGTCAACACTTCGGTTATAACGGAGACTCGGGTGATGGTTCTCGCGATGGGAGCGAGGTACGAAATCCAAGGAATCTTCCCAGAATCCAATGAAAAAGTACGGAATTTACTGCGCTGTCTCCAGCGAGAGCGCAGGGCGGGCGAGTGTCCTCAATTCTTGCCCGTTGGGCATTTCGGCCAGCGCAATACCGCTAGTGAGTAGTCGCAGGTGTGCCACTTGGTGCGATAACCACCCGTTCGGCTTCCACGGTGGAAGTTCCACCCAATCGAATAGAAGCCAACCATGCTAAGCGCTGATCCTAACCTCGAGATATTTTCGGCCGCGAATTCCGTCAAGTGCACATTGGAACCCTCAATTTCAGCCCTTTGAGAAAAGCGATTCCGTTGTTAGGAACTTCGGGGACCGAAGTTCGGGTTTTCCAGCCATTCACTTCTCTTCCTGGAAAAACCCCGAGCCGCTCAGAAGACCTATCACGCAATCTATCTCCAAAACTGCTGGATGCTGACTGGAGGTTCAACTGCTTGAGAGTACTCGCTACAAAGTTGGAGCCATTGTTGGCGTGCCCCCATCCACCGGTGATACCATTAGGGCGCGGTACATAGAAATCCGCGCTGATATCATACATGAGGCAGTCGGATTGTGGCTTCAGTCGAGACGGTGATGGTCGGAGAAGTTTCGCAGTGGCTGTTATGGTAACCTTTGTCGGTGAGGTGATATTAACTGCCAATACATCGTCGTGAGCATCGACGTAGGCAACGATGCGTGTGGGAGGGTTTCCAATATCAATCGATACAGTCCCAAGGCTGGAGTTGAGCACCTACGGGCAGTGATGGGAACTTGCAAAGGACAGCGCCAAATTGCTCTTCACGGAAAAGTACCCACCTGTTTCAAGGTGGTTTTGGATCCCGAAGTCCAAGGGCTAGGCGAGAAGTGATATGTGACCTCGCCGACTTTCATGATCTCTCCGGCTTCATTCCAAGCACGCTGGTCGGATATGAGTATTCCCACGACCGGCTCCCGTTCGTCTTTGTTGTCTACAAAGACATTGGCGGCTAAACCACCGTTGCCGATCGGCATCGAGTTGACGTAAGTAGTGGCGTCCTTCTCGGAGAGTAGATTCGTCCAGGTCACAGAGGGAGGTTGGTAGGACCAAGCCAGCCGAGCGGTGAACAAACAGACCAGGACTTGGAACGGAGCGTGCATAAGAGATGGGTAGCGCTACAGCAAATGATCCAGGTGATTGGAATCGGTGGCTCGATTAATTCAACGACACTCGAAGTGTCTCGTTATGAAATCTCCAGATTCCGTTCGCCTCTTTGCACGCAGGTACAGCCCTTGCAACGTTGCGTGAAATTCACGCCGTAAATACCGCGTCTGAGTAGGCATGTGCCAATCATGAGGCGTAGGGTGCGTGGGTGGCCTGGACTACCATGTTTGAGATCATCGGCCCCTTCACTCAACGCCCGACAGCGAGCCTCAGTGCTTCCATACAGCCTCGTCGTCAATTTCTCTTGAATGATGATGAGGGAACGAATGATGTGTCGCACATTCCCTATTGTTTCTAGCAGTTCTGACAGATACAAATAGTTGATAAGTATATTACCGTAGTCCGTACTAATGAGATTTGATTAGATAGAAATGTGGCGGGCTTTGCTGGAGACAGTTTTGCGCCAGTGGCTAGACCCTTCAATAATCAAATAATGTGACACAAGGGTCACCCTTGTGTCACATTATTTACTCGTCCCCCAGTTTTCGGTCCGAACACAACTGCTCCTTCCTACTATCCCTACAACAAGGTTCACCGTGAACCGTTCACGGAGACAGGCTCCACCAAAGCACACGCAATTACGTGACGCTAGTGGTGAGACACCAATGGTGACGTGACGCTCCTGCCTGGCTGTCTCTGAATTAAATAATTTAATAAGGGGCGGCTCCAGGCCTACCAGTAGAGGGGGGCTCAGGGGGAGCGGGAATTTTCTCGTGGGGGGCACTTCGATTATACATAACAACATGCCTCGAAGACGAAACCTCAAAGTCTAGCGGCTATATCGTCGTCGGATTCTCCGTCAATGACGGTTAATGACGGACCGTCATCAACTGTCTAATCTACCGCTGCCTGTCCCATGAGGTTTTTTTACGGAATCATAATCAAGAGTGAAAAATTAGGGAGCAATAGTTATTCACTTACAATAAATATCATTATAAATGATATATGTCATAGCAACAGCAACAAAAGCGCAACTGATTCTCACCTATTTCAACAAACACAAATTTCGCTCAGCGAAGCGATGATCAGCGATCATTGATCACCCGGTGATCAGCGTTTGTCGGTTCGATAATGTCGATTCGCTAGAGTCGGTTTGACTCTAGCGGTGAGCACCACCACTGGAGATACGCAGATAGTTCACAATCCCGCGTATGGTCGAGAAGGTACGTTTACTGGTAGAGCGAGAGCTAGTGTAAGAGATTCATGAAAGCCAAACCATTTCCTCAGGCTCTCCCTCCTGTGGGCCGCAGACTGTGGCCTCAGGAATACATACAATTATTGTATTACGTAGGTATGTCATTTCTTTCCCTTTCCAGAAATCTCGTAGTAAAACAATATCTAGTTTTGGCAGTCTCACTTTCGTTGCCTCGTTGAAATATTTACGATGGAAGTTCCAATGGAACCATCATGGAACATTCCGACCAAAACGTCCACGCCGAGAAAGCTGGCATTGATAGCTTCCCGGCGTCATAGCAAAAACACCTTTGTAGAGGCCCCTGATATGTGGCGCAAATTCGATGCGCGCAAGTGTCGGAACTTCTAACGATTCATGAGAGTCCAAAGTGAGCCCACAAAACACACAAGATATGCATGGATCTCGCCCCCCCTCCAGGTGGGCAAGCCTCGGTCCCCCAGGGGCGGCCGCCCCCCGGCGCCCCCCCCCTACCGCCGCCCCTGCTTACAAACACTAGTGTCCCAGAGGCTTGTGCTTGCTAAGCCAACCTATGTCTAAGGGACGACTAATGGGATCGACAAGGACGAAAGTAGCGAGTGTAACAAAGGGATATGACTATAGAACTCCAAAAGAGAACGAATTCGACGCCTAGCCGTTTCAGCCGTTTCGACAAGACAATATGAAACTGCCTAGCGGGGTAAAGCGATCGCTACACTGCCGCCGCCGCTAGACGGAGTTGATGAAGCATACTACGAGTAGGAGGGCCTCTACCAGGTTGAGCATCGATAGCGTCAGCATACAGGCGCCTTTGCTCTGGGGAGAGCTTTTTGGTGATCGCACTATCTTTGGCATAAGCGGCCTTGAAGTTACGAGGTGGTCTCGCAATAAGATCTTTCCAAGGGATCTTGATACAACATCTTCCGTCGGGGGCATCACGGTCGTCAACCAGAGTGACAGGGAGGTCCACGGCCTTGGGGCTGATCTTCACTCGTTGGTGGTTGATAGACACATCGACGATGTGTGAGTGTGATGTGAGTGGAAATTCAGTACGATATTCTGTGTTTGGAAATTTCAAGGTGGAAATTTCCGGAATTTCCAGGAAATTTCCGCCAAGATGCTTCCGGGCTTCTGCGCTAGCGCGCAGTCGGATCGAGGAGGTACAGAAGAGCGAGATCACGAGTTGGAGAGTCGTTTCGTGGGTCCATGCGTTACATTGTCAATTGCGTGTCGCGTTCAGTTCGAGAGCCAACGATGGCTCGAAAGGGATGTAGTTGCGTCAATCACGGTCACGAGTCGTGGCTCACGACTGACGATCCGTCAAAGCAGCTTTGCGAGAGACAGGTTTTCGCTCTCGAAAGACCTCGTTTTTGGGTGGTCGAATTCTGTTCAGTATCTCGAAGAAGTCTGGTTTATCCATGTCTTTGAAGGCTTTCCTGTTATATTGCCTATCTCTTAATGGCTCCCTCGTCGCGTAGAGAAGCTCTATCTTCGACCCC